TTTTAAAAAAAACTGTATTTTGACCGGGGACGCGTAGTTTAGCCAAAAATAAATTTTTTTTTTAAAATTTTTTTTTAAAAATTTTTTTTATTAATACCATTTTCTGAATCTCCTTAAAAAGCTAAACATGAATCTGTTTTATTTTTTTAAAAAAAAGGTTTTTTGACCGGGGACGCGTAGTGTTTTTGAAAAAAAAAGTGTTTTTTGAAAAAATCACTAAGTTATAAAATAGTTTAAAATATAATATTTACATATTCTGTATTCTTTTAATGAGCTAAATATGAATCTGTTTTGATTTTTTAAAAAAAACTGTATTTTGACCAGGGACGCGTAAAGACGCGTAGTTTAGCCAAAAAAAAATTTTTGTTTTTTAAATTTTTTTTTTAAAATTTTTTTTATTAATACCATTTTCTGAATCTCCTTAAAAAGCTAAACATGAATCTGCTTTTATTTTTTAAAAAAAAAGTAGTGTTTTTGAAAAAAAAAGTGTTTTTTGAAAAAATCACTAAGTTATAAAATAGTTTAAAATATAATATTTACATATTCTGTATTCTTTTAATGAGCTAAATATGAATCTGTTTTGATTTTTTAAAAAAAACTGTATTTTGACCGGGGACGCGTAGGGACGCGTAGTTTAGCCAAAAAAAAATTTTTTTTTTAAATTTTTTTTATTAATACCATTTTCTGAATTTCCTTGAAAAGCTAAACATGAATCTGCTTTTATTTTTTTAAAAAAACAGTTTTTTGACAGGGGACGCGTAGTGTTTTTGAAAAAAAAAGTGTTTTTTGAAAAAATCACTAAGTTATAAAATAGTTTAAAATATAATATTTACATATTCTGTATTCTTTTAATGAGCTAAATATGAATCTGTTTTGATTTTTTAAAAAAAACTGTATTTTGACCGGGGACGCGTAGTTTAGCCAAAAATAAATTTTTTTTTTAAAATTTTTTTTAAAAAATTTTTTTTATTAATACCATTTTCTGAATCTCCTTAAAAAGCTAAACATGAATCTGTTTTATTTTTTTAAAAAAAAGGTTTTTTGACCGGGGACGCGTAGTGTTTTTGAAAAAAAAAGTGTTTTTTGAAAAAATCACTAAGTTATAAAATAGTTTAAAATATAATATTTACATATTCTGTATTCTTTTAATGAGCTAAATATGAATCTGTTTTGATTTTTTAAAAAAAACTGTATTTTGACCGGGGACGCGTAAAGACGCGTAGTTTAGCCAAAAAAAATTTTGTTTTTTAAATTTTTTTTTTAAAATTTTTTTTATTAATACCATTTTCTGAATCTCCTTAAAAAGCTAAACATGAATCTGCTTTTATTTTTTTAAAAAAAAGGTTTTTTGACCGGGGACGCGTAGTGTTTTTGAAAAAAAAAGTGTTTTTTGAAAAAATCACTAAGTTATAAAATAGTTTAAAATATAATATTTACATATTCTGTATTCTTTTAATGAGCTAAATATGAATCTGTTTTGATTTTTTTAAAAAAACTGTATTTTGACCGGGGACGCGTAGTTTAGCCAAAAAAAAATTTTTTTTTTTAAATTTCTTTTTTAAAATTTTTTTTATTAATACCATTTTCTGAATCTCCTTAAAAAGCTAAACATGAATCTGCTTTTATTTTTTTAAAAAAACAGTTTTTTGACCGGGGACGCGTAGTGTTTTTGAAAAAAAAAGTGTTTTTTGAAAAAATCACTAAGTTATAAAATAGTTTAAAATATAATATTTACATATTCTGTATTCTTTTAATGAGCTAAATATGAATCCGTTTTGATTTTTTAAAAAAAACTGTATTTTGATCGGGGACGCGTAGGGACGCGTAGTTTAGCCAAAAAAAATTTTTTTTTTTAAAATTTTTTTTATTAATACCATTTTCTGAATCTCCTTGAAAAGCTAAACATGAATCTGCTTTTATTTTTTAAAAAAAACGGTTTTTTGACCGGGGACGCGTAGTGTTTTCAAAAAAAAGTGTTTTTCAAAAAATCACTAAGTTATTAAATACTTTAATATATAATATTTACATATTCTGTATTCTTTTAATGAGCTAAATATGAATCCGTTTTGATTTTTTAAAAAAAACTGTATTTTGATCGGGGACGCGTAGTTTAGGCAAAAAAAAATTTTTTTTTTTTAATTTTTTTTATTAATACCATTTTCTGAATCTCCTTGAAAAGCTAAACATGAATCTGCTTTTATTTTTTTAAAAAAACAGTTTTTTGACCGGGGACGCGTAGTGTTTTCGAAAAAAAGTATTTTTTCAAAAAATCACTAAGTTATTAAATACTTTAATATATAATATTTACATATTCTGTATTCTTTTAATGAGCTAAATATGAATCTGTTTTGATTTTTTTAAAAAAACTGTATTTTGACCGGAGACGCGTAGTTTAGCCAAAAAAAAAATTTTGTTTTTTAAATTTTTTTTTTAAAATTTTTTTTATTAATACCATTTTCTGAATCTCCTTAAAAAGCTAAACATGAATCTGCTTTTATTTTTTAAAAAAAAAGTAGTGTTTTTGAAAAAAAAAGTGTTTTTTGAAAAAATCACTAAGTTATAAAATAGTTTAAAATATAATATTTACATATTCTGTATTCTTTTAATGAGCTAAATATGAATCTGTTTTGATTTTTTAAAAAAAACTGTATTTTGACCGGGGACGCGTAGGGACGCGTAGTTTAGCCAAAAAAAAATTTTTTTTTTAAATTTTTTTTATTAATACCATTTTCTGAATCTCCTTGAAAAGCTAAACATGAATCTGCTTTTATTTTTTTTAAAAAACAGTTTTTTGACAGGGGACGCGTAGTGTTTTTGAAAAAAAAAGTGTTTTTTGAAAAAATCACTAAGTTATAAAATAGTTTAAAATATAATATTTACATATTCTGTATTCTTTTAATGAGCTAAATATGAATCTGTTTTGATTTTTTAAAAAAAACTGTATTTTGACCGGGGACGCGTAGTTTAGCCAAAAATAAATTTTTTTTTTAAAATTTTTTTTTAAAAATTTTTTTTATTAATACCATTTTCTGAATCTCCTTAAAAAGCTAAACATGAATCTGTTTTATTTTTTTAAAAAAAAGGTTTTTTGACCGGGGACGCGTAGTGTTTTTGAAAAAAAAAGTGTTTTTTGAAAAAATCACTAAGTTATAAAATAGTTTAAAATATAATATTTACATATTCTGTATTCTTTTAATGAGCTAAATATGAATCTGTTTTGATTTTTTAAAAAAAACTGTATTTTGACCGGGGACGCGTAGTTTAGCCAAAAAAAAAATTTTGTTTTTTAAATTTTTTATTTAAAATTTTTTTTATTAATACCATTTTCGAAATCTCCTTAAAAAGCTAAACATGAATCTGCTTTTATTTTTTTAAAAAAAAGGTTTTTTGACCGGGGACGCGTAGTGTTTTTGAAAGAAAAAAGTGTTTTTTGAAAAAATCACTAAGTTATAAAATAGTTTAAAATATAATATTTACATATTCTGTATTCTTTTAATGAGCTAAATATGAATCTATTTTGATTTTTTTTAAAAAAACTGTATTTTGACCGGGGACGCGTTGGGACGCGTAGTTTAGCCAAAAAAAAATTTTTTTTTTTAAATTTTTTTTATTAATACCATTTTCTGAATCTCCTTAAAAAGCTAAACATGAATCTGCTTTTATTTTTTTAAAAAAACAGTTTTTTGACCGGGGACGCGTAGTTTTTTTGAAAAAAAGTGTTTTTTTAAAAAATCACTAAGTTATTAAATACTTTAATATATAATATTTACATATTCTGTATTCTTTTAATGAGCTAAATATGAATCCGTTTTGATTTTTTTAAAAAAACTGTATTTTGACCGGGGACGCGTAGTTTAGCCAAAAAAAAACTTTTTTTTTAAAATTTTTTTTATTAATACCATTTTCTGAATCTCCTTAAAAAGCTTAACATGAATCTGCTTTTATTTTTTTAAAAAAAAGGTTTTTTGACCGGGGACGCGTAGTGTTTTTGAAAAAAAAAGTGTTTTTTGAAAAAAATCACTAAGTTATAAAATAGTTTAAAATATAATATTTACATATTCTGTATTCTTTTAATGAGCTAAATATGAATCCGTTTTGATTTTTTTAAAAAAACTGTATTTTGACCGGGGACGCGTAGTTTAGCCAAAAAAAAATTTTTCGAAAAAATTTTTTTTTTAATTTTTTTTATTAATACCATTTTCTGAATCTCCTTAAAAAGCTAAACATGAATCTGCTTTTATTTTAAAAAAAAAACAGTTTTTTGACCGGGGACGCGTAGTGTTTTCGAAAAAGAGTGTTTTTTCAAAAAATCACTAAGTTATTAAATAGTTTAAAATATAATATTTACATATTCTGTATTCTTTTAATGAGCTAAATATGAATCTGTTTTGATTTTTAAAAAAAAACTGTATTTTGACCGGGGACGCGTAGTTTAGCCAAAAAAAATTTTTTTTTTATTAATACCATTTTCTGAATCTCCTTAAAAAGCTAAACATGAATCTGCTTTTATTTTTTTAAAAAAAAGGTTTTTTAACCGGGGACGCGTAGTGTTTTTGAAAAAAAGAGTGTTTTTTGAAAAAATCACTAAGTTATAAAATAGTTTAAAATATAACATTTACATATTCTGTATTCTTTTAATGAGCTAAATATGAATCTGTTTTGATTTTTTAAAAAAAACTGTATTTTGACCAGGGACACGTAGTTTATTTTTTAAAAAAATAAATTTTTGTAAATTTTATATAGTTACCGTATTTTTTTTAAATTAAAAAAAACATTTTCTAACTTATCTTATAAAGCTTAATAAGATTTCCTATTAAAAATAATAGAAAATAGTCGTTTTGACTGGGGACGCGTAGTTTTCGGGGACACGTATTTTAGTCATTCTCTATTATTCTTATACAAGGTTTTGTAAGCCATCTTGCAAAAAAAACGAGAAAAATTATGAGAAGGATGGACAAACAATGTGCAAAGTAAATGAATTGTCTTGTATAATAAATTTATATTTTATTTACATAAATTACTAGTCCCAATATCTCATGCTGTAAGATTATTTAACATAAATGGTCTTATTACAAAATTAATGCATAATAAAAGTTTTAAATTTATATTATAGATTTATAGTTGATATAAAACTAGAATATCATAAATTAAAAGGTATAATTGGCCATAATGTTGGGTTATATTTTTGACAGTAATTCTCAAATGTATTTTGCAAAGCAGTTTCCATATAAGCTATTGATTTTGCATAATCATCTCCATAAAGTTGATTCAGTTGAATCTTTCTGATCTCATTAGGCCTATAATTGGGAGTTTTTGATGATGGATTAAAATTAGTATCATATTGATTAACTAAATATAAATTAAAAGTATTATCAATTTGATAATATTACTATCTTTAACATCAATATAATCTGGTTCTGGAAATTCTAATTTTGTTGAATCCCTTTTATCATATTTTTCAGACAATTCCAATTTGAACTTTTCTATATTAAAGTCTTTTTTATAAAATATTAATATAACCTCTTTTTTGAGCATGTAATTGATGAATTCTGGTGTATTCAATCCAAGTATTATCAATTGTTAACTCAAAAGAAGTATTACTTACATCATTTTCGGAATCAATACAGGGTTCTGTTCCAATTCTTGGTCGATGACTTAAAGAATTAAAATTCTCACTTTTATCTGACAAGTTTTGATAAGAATTATCAGGCAAATTTTTATTGTCATTGTTTTTTCGTTTCTTAGATTTTTTTCTTTTATTTTTAGACTTGCGCTTAACTTCAGCTAATTGTTTTGATGTAGATAACTTATTTGTAGCTATAAATGGAAATAAAAAAGATTGGTTTTGTTTCACCCAAGGCCATATTTTATGTTTCATTAACCAATATTTTGAAAATATCGGATGTAGATACCAAAAGCTTCCTGCACTTCGGATTTGATTAAATAGGCCATCTAGATTTTTATTGATAATAGAATTTTGTATCATATTAATCGAATCTATTTTATCATAGAATTCCACATGATACTTGACAGGTAAATATGTGACGTGTTATAAATTATTATTTTATTATATTATTTATGAAAAAAAAGAACATTTTTTTATGTAAGCAAAACGATAATGTTTTTTAATGTGACAATTTTAAAATATAAAATAAACATATTATTTATATAGTTTAATCTATAGTATTGTTATAGTTTTCTAATACATGTTTGAGAAATAATCTAATAAAAAATATAAAAAATTCGAATTTCCACTAAATTTAAAAAAAATACCCCTACTTATGATTCAAATTACTTCTATTTTTTCACAAATTAAATGTACATAAAATAATTATATTTTTTAATGAAGAATCAGTTATATATATCATTGGGAGAATCTATACTTAAAAATGCACAAATCGTAATTATATATAAAATCGGTCATTATATTAACTCATAAATACTTAAGTCAAGATATTACATCACTGATACTTTATCATATTTTTTGTCTATTGAATAGTATCGCTCATATTTTAAAATTAAAATGTATTGTAAGATTGTAGCCACATTAAGGGGGAAAGGAATAGAGTAGTGTTGTTAAAAAGACCAGTTCAGGGTGATTTTTAAAAACCGCCCGATTAAATATATAACAAAATTATATTATGCAATGGAGATTTTGTTCATATATGGCAGAAGTTTGGACGTCTTTTGCCAAATATTTTGGTTAAAATCTTAATTGGGCTGTTTTTATAAATAGATCTAAATTAGGTCTTTAAACAAAAGTACAGGGAAGTGTCCCCAAAACTTTTTTACCATCAAATAAGGCTTCCTAATTTGTTATAATGGTTTAAGACAAAAATTAGGCTTTCCAAAATTATGGCCCATAATTAACTGAGGACTCCTCATCAACTGACTCGTATCGAAAGCGCAATTTGATAAAATAAATATAGCAATTGGAAAATTTATTTAACTAGGTTGGGCAGCAATAATTAATTTTTTCAGACATGGATTATGATTAAGTGTTATAATTTATAATTACATTTATAATTCCTTTTCTTAAAATATTTTTATAAAACGCTTAGTAATTGCAATAATTCATTCATATATTTCATATATTATATTTAAATTTATTAAATATGAAATATTTTATTCATATTTTTGGCTGATAAATGAATGATTCCGAACTTTAACTTTTAGCTTGAACTAACTCCGATATTTCAAATTTAATCATACATTCAGTAGATAATTCTAAATTGTCAATATTCAACCCATATTATATAAATATAAAACCATAAGCGCAGTTTGTGCACTCTGTTTGTAAAGGGCCTGCAGTGTTGTTAAAGTAGCGCTCTACAATTATCCTAATTTAGAAGGTAGGTGCTACTTCGCTACATTCAATTTTATATACAAAATGTACAAATATTTAAATATATTTATAATTTTAAATTCTGTAAAATCCCAAATTTTTGAATGAGAAAGATTTCATTTCCACTTTAAATTTAATTAATTATTAAGATCAAGAATTGAGGATAGCAAATTAATTTATTAAAATATATAGGTGCTCAATAATCATTATAAAGTAAGATAAATAAAACTAAAATGTAAAAATATAAAATTAAAATACAAAGTAAAAATTATAATTTTCTTTTCTTCTTTATTACATTTTCAATATCATTGTTTTCACTAAACACTAAAATTTTCACATTATAAGAAAAGTCCTTCAACTATAATATAATGGAAATGATATTTGACCAATTTATAATAAGAAAATTTTTTCAAATATAATACAATGTATATGATTAAAAAATAAAACCATAGGCAATTTTAATCGCCAATCACGACACCCTTTCCCTTAATTAGCCTCGAAATACTGGTTTATTAACATCTCATTTTATAATCAGACTCATCTATTTAATGATAAATTATAATCCTTTATCTAGTATAGCTGCTATAGTTCACCCTTTCAAGTTTAATTTGCCATATATTAATTTGATTAAATCCATAGGGCAACTTGATAAGCTAATGGTAATGTTAAATAATATTATACTAAACCAGGATACCATAGCCAGATCAAAGACGCTACCTGTAAAACCCTTCTTACTTTATGTTTATTCTTATTTTTCGTTTGGTTTTTTACTTTTACTCTTTTCTTATTTTATTCGCTTATTTTTTTCTTATATAGAAACAATATATTTTTTACCATTTTATTGCGAAGACAGATGCAATATTATTTATATAAACAAAATTATAACAAGAAAAAAAATCATCGTTTTCACGCTTTTATATATTTATTAACAATCTTATTATTATTTATTTATATATGGTCGACATCACATGTCAATCTTCTTTTCTTTATTTATTTACTTTTCATGAATATCCTTCCACATCTTATCAATTTTATTTATTATCATTCATCATTCCTAATACATTCAATGCTATCCACGTCCCATTCAAGTCTTTCTCCCTTGACATAGATAATTTTTTGAAACAAATAATTGAAAATCCTGTGGAATATTTTTTAACCTAATAATACTCAAATTATTTTTTATGATTTTTTCTTATAATATATTAAATTTAATATCATTCTCAAGGTCTAATGCTTGACATTAGTATGGCATATTTTATAATCGTCGCTCTAGACTTGGGAATGACAGTATAGAAATATTCTTATTATTAAAATGTAATATAAAATTAATAAATTATATATATTTGATAGTAGTAATGTTTTTATACCAATATTTTTTATATGTAAAAAATATTATAAAAAAATTATAAAGTAGCTACCAGTACGCTATTTCTTTAAAAAAAATAGTTGTAGCGCGCTACTTTTTAAAGTAGAGTTTAACAACACTGAGGACCACAATCAAACCTCCAATAATTTACCAAAACATATAAAGGTATATCTAAATATTAAAGTTTTATTCTTAATCTTGTTACTTTAAAGAAAACCTCATAACTATATTGACTAGTGTTGTTAAACGGCTCGTTTTGAGCCGATTTTTAAAAACGGCTAACTCAATATTTCATCCAGAATAGTATTACGCAAGCCTGAAGATTTTGTTTGTAAAAGGAATAAAGGTTTGGACATCTATTAGCGAAATCTCGAGGCTTAGGGAATATTTTTCTGGCTAAAATATTGAGTTAGCCGTTTTTAAGAATCGGCTCAAAACGAGCCGTTTAACAACACTAATTGACAAACATTAAAAAAATTATTTACTGAATCTTCAAAAGCAAATATTTAACAAACTTATCAACATTTTTTAGAGTCATGCAAAATAAGTAATCAAGTTACTGATAATTTAATTGTATTTTATTATAAAAAGTATAAAGTATAGTAATCTTCATCATCAACTGTAGAAAAATATTTAGCTGCACCTTTGCTAAATGAGTATTATAGAATAAGTTTAAATATCGAACTTGAAAAATAGATGTTTATAAAAAAAGTCATGTATTTTTTTTAAATATTAGTTACAAATATATTTAATATGATTTGTCGATTTATTTAGAGTTCATAAATGATATTCCATTTTGTAACACCGAATATGATTGCATTTCTTAACAACAAATATATAAATATAATAATTTATATGCAAATGTCTTATGGTATTATTGCACATTAAACGAGTAAAGCCTTAATATTTTTCAAACATAAAAAAATAAAAAATAAAATAATATCATAATTATATTACAACTCAAGAAAGTTTTTCGTTATTTTTTATGATTTTTAATCTAATTCTACTTTAATTTTTATAAAAGGAATTGTGATTAATTATAATTAATTTAGAGGATCACGATTACATGTAATTAATTAAGGTTTATACCGTATTTAGAAAATAAATTAGTAATTATAATTAATTACAAAAATTTTGTAATTTAAATTAGGAATTAATTACATTTTAAGTAATTATGCTCATCCCTGGAATTCAGTTATTAATTACGATTGAAATTGACTTCATTTACTAGTAATTTTCATTTATAGTTGGGGTGGATGAAAATATTCTCAATATAATTTGTAGCGAGGATTAAAATAAACGAAATTGAAATAACACAAGATAATAACACCAACCAAGTGCAATAACAAATGTTTATTTAATGAAATACACATCATAAAAAATATTAGCAGTTACGTTAACATGTAACAGTTAGAAAAAACAAGCTTTTCAAAATTAAAAATAATTCTATTTTGTAAAGTTTATAAGTAGTATAATAAAGTATATATGGAAATCTAGTTTTTTAAATATTTTATTGCCTAATGATGATCATTATTTTTTTAAAGTTCTATAAAGAGTTAATTTTTCGAATAAAATATCATTTTTGTCTCCTGTTTGGTCTGTTAATTAAATCTGCAAACAAAGCGGAGGAGAGTAATTATCTTTTGTAAAAAATAAATATTTATTCATTTAGATATTTATGCATTGATATGAAATGATAGATCGTGATGGTGAAGATATAGTATCACTTCAATTTCCTTTTGTAGACTCCAACTGTGGAAATAAAAAGAAACATTTCTTGGTCCAATCTTTTAAACTATTGTAATATAGAATATAATGCAACTTTTAAAATGAAATAATTGTATTGGTTAACGAAAAACCAATAGAAAAAGGGAATATGATTTCTTCATTTTGAATTTTTTTGTTATAGGATTTCGTAAGATGGTTTTCCATTTTCTTAAATAATGGCAGCCTAAAAATTATTATTCGTTTAATTCATTTATTTAAACTAATTGTTGGAAACTATATTTAAAATATGCCTGATTTTATTTGTACAATAAGTCTTATTTCCAGGAAATATGAGTTTTGTATAATTCAGATTTTTGCAATATGCAATAATTTCATATGTGCAAATAATTATTATGAATTTTAAAGTGGTTTATTATTATTTTATATGCTAATTGTGATAAGTAGGCTTTTAACTGTGCAAAGAGTATATTTTTAATGTGAAACTTTTTAATAAAATATGTGATTATCATATAATATCTTTGATGCTTAATATTAGTCTAAAAGATCCATATATCATTTATTAATTTTCAAGAGAATAATTGGGTTTAGAGTTTTTATTTGATAATCATTTGAAAGACAAATATAAAATAACAAAATTAAAATCTACTCATAATATTACAATTCGATGTTCTTTGAATAAAAGTTTTTGGCATAGGCGATGAGAAATTGTCATCCTACGCCTTATAGCAGAAACTTGACAATTGCGGGAACCTAAGTGTTCTTATATTATAATCCGTTAAGGCGCACTGGTTATTTTTGATTACAAATAGTTTATTTTGCCATAATTTAATCAATGTTAAGTCAATTTTTTAGAAAAAATAAAGCAAAATAATGTCAAGAAAATAAATTTTGACCGTTTTAGAGCTATTGTCCTTATATATTATAAGAATTCTTGAGATATTTATTAGTACAAAAATCCCCTATAAGCACCATATTGGGGAACAAATTTTGGCTATCTACGGCATTCTTGGTTGAATTATAAGATATTTGAGGCGGAATTCTATTGCTACTAAATATGGATCTGATACACAGAGAAATTATTTTTACTTTTAAAATTAAGAAACGGCCTGTGCAAATTTAAGAAAATATTATATCGGGCCTTGATCGAGGTAAATATTGTTAACGGAAGGAAATGGGTCGGGTCCGATTTGTAGATCTCTAATACGTATACTACACGAAAAAGGTAAAAAAATCAAATCTGTTTGGAACATTGTTTATTCGTATTATAATATCGTCCCAAGCTAACAATGAAATCCACCACAACAATTTATAAAAAGGAAACAGTGGCGTAACCAGACCCCCAAAAGGGTGAGTGATCTAAAAACCAAATATTTAATTTATCAAAAATGCACCAGAAATAAAATTCTGGGACAAATTTTTCTTTATTAATAAATAAAAGCATATAACGGGGTTAGGGTAAGAAATATATGTTTAATTAAGAAAAACAAATAAAATCATATAATTTTACAACAAATCACCCGCTACATTTTTTTCAAAAACACCTGGAGCACCCCTCCTTTTTAAAATTGGGGAGCGGGAGCTAGCTCCTTTTAGAGCTAGAGTGGAGGAGCGCCGCTCCACTGGTCCTTTAAATTTAATGTATAAATTAAATTATTTTTTAAATATTTATAATATTTATTAATTAAATTTAATAAAAATGAAATTTAATTTAATTTAAATTTATCCATTATTAAATGTTTAGCTGAGTTTTATATTGGTTTTTTATCTAATCATTTATATTAAACATCAAGTTTTCCTTTTTATATTGAAAATTTTTTGGAAAATCTTGTAAGTCATATTAATATTTGTTTTCTAGATATATAATAAAAAATAGTTTTAGATATTATGGATTTAGATGTCATAGAAGAAGAAATCGAATTTCCATCATACAAAAAATATTTTAAACTTCTAAAAGATGTTGATCCAAATGATCAAACAAATTACTGGCAAAATATCTTTAGTGTTTAAATAAAACTATTTAATTTTCAAAAGTGAGCAGCTTTAATCTAAAAAAGCATCTAAAAGTAAAAAATCTTTCTTTTAAATACAAATTAATTTGGAAGATTTTTTTGGATTCCATGAAATTGATCATCAGGAAGATAATATATTGGACAAATATTTTTTAAATAATGATACCAAAATTACTATTTTTGATAAATTCCCTGAATTAAAAAATATCTTTATAAAATACAATACCCTGCTTCCCTATAGTGCTCTTGTGGAGTGCCTATTTAGTATTGCAAAACAGGTCTTAGGGGAGAGTGGATGTTTGATAGATTCTAATTTAAAATTTATAATTTTAAAAGCTAAAAAAAGGTTATAAATATTTTGATAGATAATTTAATATAAATAAAGCTTTTTGATAAAAAAAAAATAAGATTTTATTTCGTATACCTTCTAAAAAAATAAAAATCAAAGGAGCGGTTATGGAGTGGCACTCCATTACTTGGAGCGGGAGCTAGCTCCTTTTAGAAATGTAGTAGCGGGATAGGGAGCTAGCTCCTTTTGAGAAGGTAGGAGCGGGAGCTAGCTAATTTTAAAAAGGAGCGTTAACAACTCTGACCGATTGCATTTAGTAACTTAATGGACGATTTTTTTTATTTATTAAAGTTTGTATGTAATACATACATTGCTGTCACCTATAAATGCCATTTACTGTAGAGTACTCTTAATTGTCAATAACGTTTTCCTTTCTGATTAGTGACTATTTGTTTTACCCTAATAAGATTTATATTTTATTAATTTAAATTCAAGTTTGTAGATATTTATAGATAGATGTATCTCATCATTCGATCAGATGATATATATTTGCCATGGCCAAATTACATTAAATATTTTGATTTTTTAAAACTATTATTAAAATAAAGTATTAAAATATGGTAATAGATAACGGAGCACATAGTTACCTCATTTCCCATTTCAGAAAGTGAAGATGATATGCATTTTAGCTATTTACAATAACGACAATATTACTCACAATTAAAAATTTACATGTTTTAAGTATTAGCAATAGAGGGACCTACCTATTGCTAATGGTTAATAATGTGTTGTCGATTTTTAAAAACGGCTAATCCAATATTTTAGCCAATAATATGCAAACATGGAGATTTTTCCCATGGAAGGCAGAGATGTTTCGAGGCTCGTTTTATTTATCGGCTAATATTGTGTTCGCCAGTTTTAAAAATCGAGGCGTTTAGCAACACTCGATGGGATTAATAAGTGTGAACTTTTAATTATCAAATTAAATATATAATTTTTAATTTTTTTTAGATTTTAATATAGTATTCATGAAGATCAATATATTTTAACTTTCATAATACATTCGGCATTTAAACTTGAATCAGTATAAATAACAGAAATAAAATAGTATATATATATTAATTTGTGAAAGTTGTCCCGCCCAACCCGGCCTGAGATTTTTTTTTGCCATGCCTAGCCCGGTAGGTTATAGCTTAAAAAAGTTTGCACAGCCTGACTTTTTTTTTAATATGCCCAGCCCATAATAATTGCACCCGGCCTGATTAAAGTTTAAAGAAAAATTCGTCTCATTTAATTTTTCCGAATGTCAATTTCTCTCCTAACTTGTTTAATTATTTGTAGATTTTAAAATTCTATAAGCATATATTTTCAAATAGTTCAAAAAAAATATATGCCCAATCTAGCCTTATAAATAGCCCTGCCAAAAATATTTTGTAACCCCCCCCAACAGTTTTTGGCTATAGCTGACCAAAAGACAAAAAATAATATATTTTAATTTTTTTTATTAATGCAATTGAAAAATTCAATGGTAAACATTTAATTTATAAATCTAATATGTTCTATAGTAGTCGGAAGCTCCCTTACCATCATAAGGGGCAGGGGCATAGTCAGACCCACCGTAACCACTTTGCCTATAGGCCCCGTATCGATCTTGCCTATAGGCCCCATATCGATCTTGCCCATAGGAATTATATTTACTCCCTCCATTGTAACCTGCTCGCGCCCCATATCTATCCCCGTAAGAATTGTCATTGTCATCATATTCGCCTCCTCTATTATAACTGTTACCGTAAGAATTTGAATTGCCATAAACACCACCTCTATTATAGTTATCATAACTATATTTGTCATTATCATAATATCCCCCTTTGATGTCGTTTTTATAAGAACCGTATGAATTGGAATAGTCATTAGGGTAAGAAGCGGGAACGTACCTACTATAAGAATTTTTGCTGGAATAATCGGAGCGACCGCCATTGTCATAAGGGGCTGAATATGGACGAGAGTAAGAATCATCCGGCGCATCGTAAGATGACGAGAGAGGTCTAGAGTAATCATCAGCTGATTTCTGCTTATCATAAGATACCGATGAAGGTCCCGAAGAATAATCATTAGCTGATTTGTAATCTTAAAAAAAAAATTAATATTATGTACGATGCCTTATACAAAATATATAATATAAACTTTTTGGAGCCACGTAACTTTGATCTTTGGTTTCAACATAGGCCGATACGTCATCGTAAGCAGCTCCTTCATGATCACGCTTGTTCTTGACCGTAGCTCCATACAGACCAATCACATAGAAGGAAATAAATATGGTTAACTTTTCATGTTAAAAAAATGTTATTATAATTAGAATAAAAAAAATATATATAAACCAGCGCTCTTACTTTAAGGATTTTAGTCATTTAAATGGATTTTGATGAAGAATTATTTGTTAGTTGATAAAGATTTTAAGTTTTTTTTTTACTTTTAAAACAGAAATATATATTTATCAAAAAAAAAAGAAAGGTAGAATAATGATATGTAAGATATTTTTATTTACTTTTATACAAAAATCATCTATGCAAATATCATTATATTATAGACTTTAAAACATGATTGACCATATTAATTAGATGACAAAAAATAAAAGAACATTTTAAATGTTAAATTTTTAACACCTTAAACTGGTATTATTCAAATCTATTCAATTTAAAAAAAAAAGATGTCAAAAAACTAAGAATATATTAACCGTAAAAACAAAAAAAGAAGATTTATATAAATTAATTTTTTTTTTCTTAACCTAGACAAAAATAATCCTCACATATCAATTTTATAAAATTATTTTTTATAGTAAGTTAACTAAATTTAATTATTTTACCTTAAATTAACCCCCCCCCCCCCCATTTACCCCTGCACAAAAAAATGTCTAATATGTATTTCCCAGAATGGGGGTCTTAAAAAAAATGCAAGCTGCATATTTTCTCTATGATTCTGCTTTACTAATTTCCCGAAGGAATGCCAATTTAATTTTATCTTTCAAAATTTATGACAATAAAATGTCGTATAAAACTAAGGCATTTATGAAAAGTAAGGCTTTTTTTATTAGCAGATACTATAATTTTATAAATATAAGGCAGTCGAAAAATATAAATAGGCAAATAAATATAAATTATAAATGTTAATTAAAAGAACTAATTTCTCTTGTAAGACCCCCTGCTACCATAAATGGTGGGAGAGGAATAAGATTTTCTATCACCACTCTGCCCATATCCACCATCATTATATCCGCTATATTTTTTCGCGGAAGATAAGCCATATCTCTCTCCCGCACCATATCTATTTCCTCCATAGTTGTTGGAACCATAAGAATCAGAATTGTAATTAGACTCATAATTAGGAGAATAGTCACTAGCATATCTGTTAGATGAACCATAACTGGAAATATAGGATTTAGGAGAATAGTCATTGGAGCTATAAGATTTAGGAGAATAGTTGTTTATACTATAAGATTTAGGAGGAGAGTCGTCGCCATATCTGTTAGAGGAACCATAAGGGTTAGGAGAATAGTCGCTGCCATATCTGTTAGGGGAACCATAAGGGTTAGGAGAATAGTCGTTGCCATATCTGTTATATGAGCCGTAAGAGTTAGGAGAATAGTCGCTGCCATATCTGGAGGAACTATAAGGGTTAGGAGAATAATCACTGCCATGTCCATAGACCTTGCTCACACTTTCGTACTTTCTGGAACCATATGAATTAGGCGAATAGTCTTTGTCATAGCTCCCGGTCTTGGAATAACTATTATAAGGATAAGGTGCATAGTTATAAGAAATGAAATAATCGTCAAAGGTCGGGATATCACCACCACCGTAAGAACTAGAGTCACCCGAAGGGTAAGAAGCCGAGTATGAATCAGAAGAGTAAGAATCATCCGCTGTTGCAGGATAAGAAGAGTAAGAATTAGCTGTTGGTGCCTTGTAAGCTGATTTATCAAATATATAAAATATATTAACCAAATTTAAATGTATATCACAAAATTAACCTTGAGCAATTGGAGCAATTACTGTGGTGACATATTTATCACTTTTAGCCCCATCAGAGCTTGCGTCGTAAGTAGCTCCTCCATTATTTGGCTTATTCACGGTATCACAATACAGGTTAAGTACGTAAAATGAGAAGAATAGGGCTAACTTTAAAAAAAATGATAAATGAATATTAAATTCACAAGTATGCAAAATCTTACTTTGAACATCATAATTTTAATTAATATTTTTTTTATATCTAGTTTTTCTATAAAACTTTGATATTTATAATTTTTTATCTACAAATAAGTCTAAATCGTATTATAGTAGAATTTGATTTGCTTTTATATTAAAATCTCAATCTATTCAAATAATGTATGAATTTAAATACATTGGCCTTATTTCTTAAATAATGAATTATTTAATTTTTTTATAAATTAAAATTTAAAAATTTTGCATATCTTACCTGACATTCAAAAAAGTTAGGATTATTTAAAAATTTAAAAATTGTGTCAAACAATCAAAGGACATTATCTTTTTATTCTATATAAATAAAATTGTGTAATAATTTAAATTTTAACGACAAAAAATTAATATTTGTCTTATCAATATTATCAAATTCAAGTTTCATTTAGAAAATTATAGAATATCTCAAGAAGGTCCTATATAGATAGTCCGAATCCTTTGCCCAAGGTTGTGCGTCAGAATCAGGATACATAAATTTTAACTTTATTAAGTAGAATTTTTGATAACAGGAACTACTTAATCGGTACCGATTTTCTGAAAGGGGGTCTGAACCAACCCCGAATCTATTTTCCCCATGGGGGGATGTGGTCTTTGGTTTCAAAATACCCACCTAAACAATTTTATTACCCAAAAATATTATACTAGATCTTCATTATGATACAGGGCGTCACTAGCCTTTAAAATCCCAGTGGGCTAAATTAAAAAAATTTCATGGGGATTTCGCCCCCTTATGCCTCCTATTTTACAGGCCTTTGGCTGGTCTTTGAAATTTGCAAACTTCAATTTCATATGTCATTTATTATGCATATAAACGAAACTAGCATATAAATTGAGTAAAACATCTAAAGATAATATTTTTTAATACAAAATATTTATCTATTTATTACAGTTTTAAATATTTTCTATTGCGGATATAAATAAATTATGCTCTAACTTCAATTTTAGACAATGTTTTTTAGAATGGACTAATCAAATCAATAATTCTTGAAGAAGAGATTAAAACTGAAAGCTAGATATTTTCGAATAAATTATTGTGCGATATTAAATTTCTAAAAGATTTAGCCACACATAATAGATTCTGGTTAATTTTATTTATAGCCATGACACTCACGATCTTAAAATACATAATAGAATTCTAGAATGAATCAGGGGGGCTATCAAAAATATTTATTTTTAATTTGGAGCCATTTAAAAAAAATTTGCTTCAAAGGGCCATTCAAATTTTTTAGGGGATCGAGCCCCTGCGCCACCCTCTACCCACTAAAAATCACTTACCGACAATGTGTTTATAAACATGTGGGACATACAAGGGTAGTTTATATCAAATCGAGGGAAATTTCTATTATCTAATCCCCTTAAAGATTATGGAAAAAATTTAGAAAGTGACAATTAAATAGGACCAACTATGTTTTGTAGTTTAATATTTTTATTTTTAATTTCAAGTTGAAAATATAATGTGAATTATGAATAAAATAAATTAGTAGTCGTTGTTGCCATAGGAATTTTTGCTCCCACTATTTCTCCCGTAAGACCCTTGGCCACCATAAGAGGGAGAGTAATAAGATTGCTCCCCATAACCACCATGTCCATATCCACCTTGCTTATATCCTTGCCCATATCCACTTTGTTTGTTATAAGAATCATCACTATACCCATCATATTTTCTCGAGGATACGCCATAATTATTCGCATATCTGTCCCCTTTGTACTTGTTTGAATCATAATCGTCACTGCCATATTTGTTTGAACCATAACTGTTGGAACCATATTTATTAGATGAACCATAACTGTTGGAACCATATTTATTAGAGGAACCATAGGAAATAGGAGAATAGTCACTACCATAACTGTTGGAACTATCGTAGTTATCGTAGCCTCTAGAATAAGAAGGAGAAGGTGGATAGTTACCGCCATAAGAATTAGAGTCATCAGATGAGTAAGGTGCAGAATATGGAACAGAAGAGTAAGAATCATCCGATGACGAATAGGAAGAGTAGGAATTGTATGGCTTGTAAGAGGAATCTTATATATTATTTTTTATATGGGGTTAGGTTTATCATGAGTTTATAAAATTACCTGAAGGGGCATCGTAAGTAGCTCTTTTTGACTTTGCACCTCCGTACAGGCTAACCGCGTAAAAAAAGAATATGGCTAACTGTTTATAAAAAAAAGAAATATATCATTTTAGTATTGCAAATTATTACTTTGAAAGTAGAATTAATATTTTTGGACATTTCTATTTTTTATATATCAAGCTCAACTCTTTATATAATAATTATATTATATTTTTTTTTTGAAAAGGAAATAATTATATTTTTTCTAAATTTTTTAAATTATAAAAGGAAAGGATTATCATTTGTTTTTATATTAAAACTCACCTATGCAAATAGTAATAAGATTTAAATATATGTTTGGCCTTATTTTTTTTTAGTTTGACTGATAAAAAATTAAAATCTTTAAATTTTGGACATTTAAACTAGCATTCAAAATAAATGAGTTTTTTTAAAAAAAAAATTCAAATATCATTTCTGAACAAACGAAATAAAAGAATAACCTATTTTTAATAGGTCAAATATAATATTTAAAAAAAAATTTATGTATAAGTTGAAATCACCAATTCAAAATTTTTTAACTCAGAATTTTATCAGATCCAAATTTCAGTTACAAAATAACTCTGAATATCTAACCTGATCCTAAGGGATACGAATTATAAAGGAGTCTAAGAATGACTGTTTAAAATCCCCGAGTTGCTAAACACAAATATAAGTAATCCCTTCCTTAACTATAAAAGTATTAAAACTAATGAACACGGGGAACCTTTTGTAAAAATGGCAAACTCATTTATTGAATATACTCTTAAAAATAATTTTGCTACTATAAACTAGAATACATTTACTCCTATGATTGGGCTTGTTTATCTATTTAAAAAAAAAAAAATTATTTACAATTTTAAAATATAAGATACTATTAATGCTTGCGGCGAATATTAACACTTAATCATCATCTGGCGAATCAAGGTTAAATATAAAAAGCTAGTAAACTATATCTCCCCCCCCCCCACCACCTTTACCACCCTGTCCTGATTCACAGGAATCCTATAAATTTTTAAAAATTGGATTTCAATAAAAAATTCTTTAATAAAATTATTCTGAAAGCGCTAGCAACTATTAGCTACTCCTCTTCTAACATTTTATTTTTACATTTTGAACATGTTAACTTATAATTTTAATATTAAAAATATTTTTTATTATTTTTATGTTTTTTTAAAATATTTTTTTTTAGAAGTATAAAATGTAATTTGATGTAATTTTCAAATTACACGAGAAAACTATTCAATACCTATCTATGTCCCTCCCAATTCCCTTCCATTACCATGAGTCTATTTTTAATTGCACAAATATAGATTACTACCATTCCATAGTATATCAAATTATCCAACCTATTTTTTTTAAAAATAACAACCAATCATAACCATTTTGCCCCATAAAAAATATATAAAAAAAATTCCCCAATTTAATGTCCATCAAGTTTGATTAATTTTTTTAAAATTTTATGTTTCTAGATGAGATACGATCAAGTATGATTTATAAAAGTTAAATAGAATGCCAGCTATTTTTTTCAGGATTTTGAATCCAAACACAAATCCGTATCTTGGACTTGAGTTTTAAATGAACACTTCTCTGAAACTGAATTAAATTTCCGAGTTTAGACGGGTCCAGGTCCAGAATTTTGTTTTTTTCTTATTTAATTTTATGGGAAGAGCTATATATATACTTTAAAAAATTTTTGGCAGATAGGATAATTTATTATTTAATAAGTGGTATAATGATCAATTTAAAGTTTTTCAAACAAAAAGTAACAATCTTAATAGAAACTAATCAATTTAAAGAAAAAGTTAATTAAATGTGACTTTAGGATACGTAAATTTATCACAAATAATTTTTTAGTCTCAAGAAGAAACAATTTATAATAGTTTTTTTATTATTTTTTTGTTGAAATTATTTTATATAATATTAATTTTTGTAGGGATGCCGTTAACATTAATGAAAAGATATCCGCACCACTTTCTTTTTCAGAGTTTCTGTAGCTTGATCCTTCTTCTCAATATAGTGGCAACCGTATCTGCAATCCCGGTGCCAACAATATATCAAACTGAAAATACGATTTCAGAGACCTCAGCGATCCCGAATATGGGTGATACATACCCTTCAGATGTAACTGAATCCACTATACCCCCACAAATGGTAACATTTACAACTTATGTGAAAAAGCCTTACGAAAATAATATAATGCACCCAGGTTACGATATCGGGTATGTCCCTATAAAACCACTTCCTTCACAAGTTTACCAAACAAAAATATTATATCACCCGCCTGATTTTTATTCCGCCGAACAAGATTATGGCCAAAATGCGCCTTTTGATATAAACAGATATCTGAATGACGTTTCCTACCATCACTCTAAGCCAAACTCCTATATTCCACCACCCATTTCACCCCATATTTATGATAAAATTCAAGAGAAGCCATATTATCCCAACAATCCACGGTATGCTGGTCAATCTAGGCATTTTCCACAATATCCACGATCGAACCCGCAATATCTACCTTATCATAGATGAAGGAACATTAATTTTTTTTTTATAATTTATTGTTTTAGAATTCGCTTTTCATTTTATATTTAATTATATTCATTTAAAAAAATTGCAACTTTTAGATAATTAAAAATAATTTTTTTTTCAAATTCAAAAAAAATATAATAAAATTATATTTCAGTTTTTTCTAGTTAGTAGCAGGGTTGGATTTATGCCAATTCGCATACCTATCAATTTTTTTAACTCAACATCAAGTTATAATTCAAATTTTTCCGAGTTTTTACAAGGAGATTGTAAAACAATGTTAAATCTTGTTAGAAAATTAGGTCTTATAATTTAAGATTAAAATAAAATTTTGAAATACTGTTGTAAATTTAAACGGAGCATTCATAATTCCTAGAAATAACGTCAGCACTGCTCATATAACAAATATAATATATTAAAATAAATTGACAAGATTAATATCATCAGTTTCTTTGGGAGACTAAAGCTGGAGCTCTATAAAAATGCATTAATTTATAAAGTTATTAATTAGTTTTTTAGACATGAGCTCTAATAATAAATTTAATATATTATACTTGGTAGAAATAATATCAATGACTGCTATATTATTTCACCTATCAAAGTGTTTTTAGGAGTTTCCATAAAATATCCATAATTAACATACTAGTATAAAACATAGCATCAATCTTGTCATAGGAGTTATAGCAATCTCAAAAAGATGAAGTTCAATAAAATTGAAATTTTTTGTTATAAAAAATATTCTCATTTTGTTCCTCCTTATTAATTCTATACAGGTGCGTAACTAATGGACCGTATCAAATTTTTAAAAAAATATATAAGGCTGTTTTGAATTACGGTAGTGTTCTATGTATGAAATGTTCAGATATCCAAAGAGACTGAATTTGCTGAATAGAATTATTTATGAGACTAATACTACAAGAAAAAAGAAACTGCAAAAAACATGCCCGACAAGATGGAGTTGTATACATTAACCGTTACCGCATTTTTGGATCTAGAAAACTTATTTTGATTGCCCTTTAAAAGATATCAGAATGACCCCAAAATCAGAGATTTCATAATTCGCAAGCCTCATATCAGAATGACCCCAAAACCAGAGATTTCATAATTCGCAAGCCTCATATCAGAATGACCCCAAAACCAGAGATTTCATAATTCGCAAGCCTCGATATGCACCAAGACAAACAAATCATTCTAGATTAACGTTCTCAATTGTGTATTACTATAAAATAGCCCTTATTATTCCACTTTTAGATACATTTTTCAAATCAATCAATTTGTGATTCATCAAATGGCTCCACTTCTTTATAAAATTCTTCAAAGATTTTATTTCAAACTTTGGAAATTAGATTATTAAAATTTAATGATTTATAAGGTAAAAAAATATGTTCCGCAAGGAACATGAAATTCCAGTAAATTCAAATATTTATGAATAGTTTCGAATATTTACGATAAATTTTGAATATGAAAAAAATGAAATTATACGAATAATGGGTAAAAAATTATTTGACGAAAATATTTTTTTCTTTCTCAAATAATTTGTTTTAGGTATACTTGAACCCTTCAATTTCAAAATATGGTTCGGGTTTAGCAAAAACACGAGGTTTCAGGTTTAACACTAGGCTATCTATATAACAAAATTAATTAAGATTGCAATTTAATTTTTATATAATAATTTTTCATCAAAAATTAATATCTTGCAGTGATTGTCATGGTATCTTAGAGCCAAATGTGAATTATTTTATTTTTAAGACAATTTAGGACATTTTTACGAAATTTCTCAAAATTTCAAATCACCCCCATATAGGGATATCTACTACATTGATAGATTATAAATATTCTTCAATAAATATTTTTTTGGGGGTGCTGACTAACGAAAATTCTAATTGAGTGAAGATTAAGAAATCATTTGAAAAAATTATATATATTATTCCATTTCATATTTTTAATGATTTTTTTTTCGCGTTATATATTATTATAAGTTTTAGTATTGTAAATAAATTTATAAAAAAATTAATAATATATTTAAAATATAAAGGCGATATTAAAAAAAATATACATATAAAAATTGGATCGACCAAAAAAAAATTATCAAAAGATAGCCTGATTTCAGATTGAATAGACTCACCAAAATTTAATTATTTCTCAGTTCTCCATAAAATATATAAAAGTAAAAACAAAGAGAAAAATATTTTGTTTGATTGATTATCAATAAATAATATGTAAAGGTATATGATTGGCCAATAGTCAAGAGTTTTGATTTTCTATGAAGGGATACAAAATAAATATTAGAATAGAAACTTATAACATTTTTAAGTGTTTTTTTTATAAGTGTTAATTTACGTCTTGTATTTTTGTAAAATTTGTCATTGTAAATGTATGTGGACATTGATGCAATTAAAAATTCCTTAATAATAATATATTTACATGAATCGTCATATGTTTATACATTATTAATATTTTAATAAATTGTTTAGTTAAAACCAAAATCGTAATGGGAAGACTCTTTTAATATTATTAATCCAAAAACACGCTTCCTCGCTTTCGCCATTAGTCGGGTTAATTAAACGGGGATGATTTATAAATGCGCAAGAATTAAGATAATGTGTTTATTATCGTCTCCATTATAATATTTATTCGGAATTAATGAGTTGAACATAATTAGCAGGAAACAGGCCCATCTTACCCCGACACATACCATTCCACCAACCAGCATCGATCTATAAATTACAGATTTTTTTAGATATATTAAATATTTATAAATAAATTTAAAAAAATAAATATGTGCAGCACTTTTCATAGAAATTTAAAGAAGACCTAGTTTATTATTTTAATTTAACAATTTATTCAAATGATTATTCATAAAATGATAAATAAACATAGTAATTATGTCTTATTTTATATTATAAAATTTGTCAAATTATTGTTTTAATTATTTAATAGTAATAAAATATCCTAAATAAAATACTTTTACGGCGGCTTTGAAGGTCTGTATGGGGTGTTAATATTTTATATTTCTATTAATGAAGTTAACTCAAATTCGAAGAAAAATAAATAATCTTTAGCTTAGTTTTCAAAAAAATAAAGAATCACTTTATCAATATGGGTTATCAATTCTCCAGGGTCGAAGGTAAGCTCATCCTCTTCGTCTTTGAAAATTTATTTTGTTTTTAAAAAAAATTAGTAAAATTTCATATTTTAATTTATTTATTTCTTCCTTCCATTTAATTTCTTTCTTTCATTCCCATTGTTTCATTTATTTCTTATTTTTATTTTCCCAGAATATAATCAAATGTAAATTTTGATTACTTGCTTGATAATCGTACATAGCTATCGCAGTAATCCCCAAATCGTCGGGATTATTAACATCGTGTCTAAATTGTTCATTAGACAGGGTACCATTATTTTCACTAACATTTTCGATTAACTTACCCGCATCTTGGCTATCTGCTTGGTGGCAAACCCCATTATTGTTAATAAAATTATCAGGGAGATTATCCTTGCCAGCTAATTGTCCATTTGAGTCTAAGACGAGATCCCGAAGCTCGAATATCCCATTCGTAATAGGGCTTTGATTGGTAGATTCGATTTGGTCATATGAATCTTTTAGACGGGACATATTAACTGGAGTCTTGCCAATACTTTCTTAAATTTAGTGAATAATGTTGGATATAAAATTCTATAAATAGCTAGCTAGCATTTAACAGACAAGTCGAGTATTCAACCATCATAAAATTTAAAAGTGTATTAGTTAAGAAAATGATGAGTTTTCTATGGATTATGATACTTTATAAAACTCTTTAAGATACTCTCAAGTAAATTATATAATTATGTCTCATTTCAATAACAAGGATTTCTTTCTTTCTGCCAATTTTACAGGATTTTGTAATAAAGAGAATTTAACATGATTAATCAAGCTAATCGGGGGATATCGCACAATAATGTCGAGATATTACTTATTTTTAATTTTTAGAAGGAAATTCTGCATAAAAATGGTTAACATCAATTAAAAACGGTTGCCAAATACAAGTGGCGATAAATATCCACAAGACAAATAAATTTAAAAAAAACCTGAAATTCTATCCCCGTTAATATGCTCCTCAATCTGCTTCCCATTTTGAGCTCTTTCATTTTCAGCAAAGTTGCTCTTAGAGTCCTTTGACAATTCATTAACATAGTTTAAAAAAGAATTGTTTGGAGTATTAGAAATGATTGGCATATTTTTAGCATTTTCGAAATTGTGAATTCTATCGCTAACACTTTTTAAGGGAGCTTGATCCTTATTATTAACCCGTTCGACCTCCCTGTTATATTGAGCACTGGTTTGAATGACGCATGATTTGGTGATAGTTGAGGCATTGACACCTTGAATATATAATATTATGTACATAACATAACAAAGCTTCCATTACTTCAATAAAATTATCCTGGTGCGAAATATTTTAACTAAGAGTTGCCAAATTTTACCGCTCTCTTTCTTTCCTTCCCTTTCAAATTTTTCATCGAGATAAAATGTTTTTAATAAAAATAAATATAAACTATTAACTACCTTTATTATTATTTTCATTATTTCTACAGTTGTTAGAATCGAATTTGCGTATTTTTCCTGTTATGGCATTAAAATTGGTCGAATTTTTCTGGCAAGCGGTTATCTGTTTTTCGAAATATTTTTTCGCGCTTTTGATATCGTAATTTAAATCGAGCCCGGGGTCGATCGCGTGCGGTGTAATTTGAGATGGAGAGTTGTCTTCGTTTTTCGTTGATAACTCTCCGTCTGATGAAAAAAAATTAAACAGAAATTATTAAAGAATTGGGCAAATGATTTACACATGAGTGCTAAACTATGAACTATCGACAACGCGAAAAAAATATAAATTGATCTGAAATAATGGGCATATAGGGATTGAACCGCGATCCGAGGTGAAGTGAGACAGACGCCATAACTACCTATACACTCTAATTTTTTAAAAATGCGATAAATTTGTAGATTTAATGTAAAAATTTTCCCATCTTAAGCTAGATTAAAATACCGATTTCTAAATGAAACTGCATTCATGTTGCACATAAATCTTCGGCGAAAATTTAAACGTAGTTTGTATTACTAACTATTTATTAGTTATTTTAAAAATAAGAAAAAGTAATTTAAAAGATCTTATATTGTTATTTATAACACATTAAATTTATGTTAGTAGCCAAATGGGTAATTCTTAACCGTGGATACAAATATTATTTTAAAAAACTATTACAGTACCTAAAAATCTTATATTATTATGGAAATTATTAGTATCTTGAATTTATATTTATTTAGTCAATCATGAAAACTAATCAGATTTAAAATGCAATATACCGAATACAAATTATGGAATCAGCAAACAATCTAAAATTATATAATAATTTCAAAAAAGCTATATATGTGAGATAGTAGCTATATAATGGCAATATTTATTAGATGTGATTTGATATTAAAATTATAAATTTGAATAAGAAAAAAAAGTCAATCATAGAGAAACACTCCATTAACACTAAGTTGGAGATATTAATTAACAGCCACTCTTAGGGAGTGATGGTTTCAGTCGAAAATGATAGAGTAAAATTGACGTTAAAAAAATACGAACTCTTTTGATCGATCGTGGGACTGCCAAAGTTTCCACCGTAACCGAAGGAGTAATCTAAACATATAGAAATAAATCATAGTTTTATTCAATCTACCCAATTTTTCATTAAATTCCATCCCCCGTCAGTAGTATCTCTCTTAAAACTCAGTTGTGTTCCTTAGCACGGATGCATTGACATCACGTTTTTTTTAAAATTAGATACCAAAAATTTATCTTGTTAAAAATAATTTCTATATTAGGGTTGATATGTTAAATCAATTTTTTTTGTTTTGTGTAAATTTTAAATAATTATTGGTTTTTCTTCCTTTTATATAAATATATTTTATTATACCTTATTTTACTATATTTTGCAGATGAGTTCAATTAATTGTTAAAAATTTTTTGTTTAATTATTAAAAATGATATTACATAATATTGATCCTGAAATAATTCTTTTGATATAATAAAGTCCATAGAAAAAATATTTTTAAAAATATCTTTATATTTAAAGAAGATGTAAATGGTTGATTCTAATTCCTTCTAGTGTAGATCTATAAACAAAAACATTAGCAATTATTCAAATTAAATATTTCTAGTATTTATTACTATTCATTCATATTTGATTTGAAATACTTTTATATAAAATGATAAAACAAGAATTAAATTAGGTAAAAAGGTACAAATTTTTAAAATACCATGGTCCGGTCTATGTATATCAGTCCGGTTCGTAAACTTTACTAGTAAAATTTAATATTATTTTATAAAAGTTAATTCGTAAATTTTATAGGAAAACAGATGTTAAATGCAATAAAATGAATATGTGTTAAATTAATAACTTTTTACTCCTCCAGGGAAAATATTTTAGAAAATAAAATTTAATTTACAACCCTAATTAATATGATGTCAATTGAAAAAACTAAAAATTACAAGAGGTGAGGTTTTGTCATTAAAAATTTGAGGTAAATAATCTCACAACATATAGGAAGGATAATTACAATGACGGTTTAATGATTTTTTTTCCAAGACCTCTATTTCCCTCCTAATTTTGATTAAATTTAAGCCATAAAAATGCTTTTCAATTATGATTGTAATTTATTTTCTTACGTATTATTCTTTATAATAACGTTAATATTAGAAAAAACAATAGGAAAAAAAAACAACAGCACTTTTATATATTTTTTTATTAACTTAATTTGTAGATATTTTTTTTAATATATAACTTATTATAAGCCAATTTTGTTAAAATTTATAAAGGTTCTTTGGTATCAATTAAAATGGAAACCATTCTATACCAAATATCGTTATTGGTGCATCTGTGTTCCTAGGTGAGTGACAGTTATCGAAAATTTACAAAGTTAGAAGGGGTATATATATATATAAAATTAAGAAAGGTTAAAGTCATGAATTATCTCTTTCTCGTATCAATATAAATAAAAAATTTCCCAAATATAAAACCTTTTTGAGACGCGTGTAAATCCTGCTTATCCTTGCTTTCTCCCTTCAAAGCTAATCTCTTGAGGCAATCTTTGTGAAGGCCAACTTTGGCGTCAAATCCTTTAGCATAATCTTCGAATTTAAAAAAAAACAATAATATAAAGCAATTAAACTCCTGGAACATGATGAGATGATATTTGAATAGTGTAAGAGTAATGGAGAGAACAAATGAAATTACATCTGGAGACGAACTAAACGGATGATATGAGAAAAATGGAATCACAAATAGCGATGTTCAGGATTGTAGAAAATGGAGAAGGGGAATCAGAGGAAAACTCGGCATCAAACCGTGAGGAAAAAGGACGAAGTGACCCCCGATGATATGTAATTTTTAAATATGCTAATTTGATCTCAACGAAGGCCTAAAAAGATCAAGCAGAAAATAAATTATGGCGGACAATCAAATTATTCATTTTTCGATAAATATTATGAATTTATGGAGGAATGCTTCTTCATCTAGCTAATTATTAAAATGTTTCTAATTTCTTCTATTCAGTTCAACCATTTTATTTATAATATCTTTACTTATCGCGTGCTAAATCAAGATTATTCCAAAAAAAAATTACTCACAATCTTTATTCTCTCTCCCTCCCTTATGTTTGCAATAAAAAAAACTAATAATAAGAGATTAAATTTTTTTATAATTTGATTAAAATTATTTTTTTACATTTACCATTAATTTTTTTTATTTTTCGAGTCTTTAACTCCTTCCTTTCTTTCTTTATTATTTTGGATTTTATAAAATATTCATTTTAAGAATATACAATCAAAATAAAGGAATAAAGTAGGAAATACACCTTTTTGGGATGAGTGAGGTTCAATGACCTCTTTGTAATCCCAGGGGAGAGCCGATTTATCAGCTGTTCCATTTGAAATTCCATATTTTCCGCCGAATCCTTTAGCGTAATCTTTTATTTTGTTTTAAAAATAATGTGCAAAATATTATTTTAATATTTTCGGGAGATTTAAAAACTATTTTATGAAAAATCGCAAAATTAAAATAAAATCTTACGATAACATAATAGAATAATTTGAAAAATTTATGAAACCATTATAAATGGAAAGTAAACATATAATTCAAGCAAATAAGTTTCACGGCTAAAATATTATGGAAATTTAGGAAGATTTAAGATGCCATTTTAAATGAAAATTATCCGTGGAATAGATTTTATGGCATAAATAATATTCTGCTTTTATTAAATACGTAAAAAGGAACTTAAGTTAAGAAATCATTTTATAGGAAATTAAGGCAATCTAGCCATCTGGATTAAAGTTGTTTGACAGAAATTTGTTTGTTCTGCCTAGGGTAAATATTAAACATTACCTATTTGTGATGAATGTTTTTCGGTGATTTCGACGTGATTCCACCCCAAGGCGCAACTATCCTTCCGATCGGTTTGAACGCCGTATTTTCCCCCGAACCCTATATTGTAATCTAAACGTGCACGAATTTGTTTTAAATTTGATTATTACACAAAATTCAAAATATTCAGAGTAAAGGGTGTAAGGGCGGGGTAAGAAATAGGAACCGAGTAATAGCCCTCTGAGAATAATTCATATTCATCGTAATGTGAATTGGGGTTGGGGAGAGTTAAATTCTCATCAAAAGATAGGGTATTGTATTATGAAGCAGCTTGTTACAAATAAACACCATTTAAAAATCGGTTTTTGCAAAAAATATTTTATATAAGGTGACATTTGAATAAGAAAAAAAAATTAAATAAGTGGTCATCTTTCTACTTTATAATGTAGATATAATTACCAGTCTGGGATGGATGCTTAGGGACGTTGGCAACGTAATCATTTCCTTCCGCGTTCTATATATTTTTTTATAAAGAAAAAGTTTATTAATGAAATTCCTTCCAAATTTCTTTAAAAAAAAATTTCCACAGGGGTTTTCATAAAATTATTATTGACAAGCGATATGGCAAAAAAAACCTCATAGAACTAAATCAATGATGGCTATCTTTTCTCCAAGGTCTGAGATGGGCGGATTTTATTCCGTAAGCCCACCAGTTGTTTCCTGCCTAGAATTTTATAATAATAAAAATTGTCGCTCGCCCATTCGTTTAAAATGTCGCGAAACAAATTCTCCGCTGTTTTAAAAAAAAATTTGATTGATTATTGTCCAAAATATATATTTTCAAAATATCATATTTTTAAATTAATTATTTTAACATAAAAATAAGCGCTTCACATTTTGCGTCACCCGTCGGATGTTTAAAAAGTATTTTTAACTCGACTCACCTAATTTAACTTTATGAGGGAAATGATGATCGTCTGCTTTTTTATTTCAGCAATATTCTTAAATAGAACAAATTAGATTTAATCCATTTATAGCCTTTGAGACAATATATTTTTAAAGAATTATAGTGTGAAAATTGAAAATTGCGAGAATTCCTTATTAGAAATTGGAAGAAAATGAGAAATCCTTTCCTTGTGTCTGGTTTAATTTATAAACGCGTTTTGTTGCGTATTTAATACTGCGAAAAATAATCAAGCCAATAAATAGGTATAATTTATACAGGGGCGTAACCAAGAGAGAGGTGGTGGGATTCCTCCCCCATCAAAAAATTTCCTCGTAGGTAGATATCATTTTAGGCTTATAAAAAATTTCTTCCTACATACCCCGCATCCCCCAAAAATGTACAATATATCACAAAAAAAAAGAAATTAGTAAAAGCTAATACCTTTTTAAAATAATGACCATATTACAAATTTTTTTATTAAAAAAAGCATTTTTTATAAAAAGAATATATATAGCCAAAGGCCTACAATAAGTGAACCTATAAACCTCCAATAAAATCTATGGAGAAAAAAATAACCTATTAGCACCGCCCCTCCCTCAAAGGAGAATTTATAAATATGGAGCGAAATGATAACGCTATAATAAAATTAGAACATTATTTTTGCGATGCGATGATAAAATATATGCGATACGATTATAAAAATAATTGCGAAATTCGATAAAAAGGTAGAATAAATATTTTTGAAATATTACTAATTCTATTTTTATTTCAAAAGTTATTATGACTCAACTTTGATTTTGATGGCGTTCAATTCGGCACCGCTTGAATAAAACATATTTATCTATAAATTCAGTCTCATTTTAAATATCCCATTTTAAAAGATAAGTATAGTTATTTGTTACATTTTATTTATATCATTAAACAACCAGTAAGGGATTTTTTAGTGTTTATTACTCTTATTTTATAGGGTAATCTAATCAACTCTATAGTTTGTACCTTTTTACGAGTAAAATATAAAGGATTCATCGAGCGTCAATTAGTATATAATACAAATAAAATGCAAAAAATATAACTTTATACCCAGCTGTTCTGGGAATGTTTCAAAACACAGTTTTTCATACATATGATCTTATTTAATCAGTTCCGTCAAAAATCCCAGAAAACATATGATATATTAATCACGTTTTTTTTTGAATATTCAGAAACTAAATTTTGTTATTGGTTTTCCGAGTTATATGTATAATATAAAACTCTTACCTACTTACTGCTCCATAGAATAGTTTGGCATATTTAAAAAAAATATGAATAATATTATTTGGTAATTTATCAAAATTTAAAAAATAAATTGTTTTTAGCATTTTAATTAAATATGCGTAAAAAATATATAATAAACACTATTTAAATTTTCAATAACATTCCCCTCATTCCATTAACCTTAAAAAAATATATTCTAGTGTTCTGAAACCCTTATATGGTGACCAATCAAGAATGGTTATGTTTTGAGCAGCATAAGATGATCGTTAAATATAATGCCGCATTTTTTTACTAAGGATTCTTTATGAGATTTGGGGTTTAAAAGGAGTGTTATAAATTAGTCAAACATAACGACCCAAATCATTTTCAAGATTAAGTTGCAAAAATCCAGCGTGACATTCATTATACAAGTCAAATTAAGGTCAATTTTTATTAAATCCTCTAAAGGTCAAAACGTTCAGCTTGATCAAATTAATTAAAAACATTAGTCAAAATTATCAAAGGCAGAAGGATTTCCCTGAAGAAAATAAAGTACCAGCAAGATAGGTTATAAAATTTTGAACAGTCACAACATATCGAATTTAGTATTGATCTGATTCTTCCATTCTCCTCTATTTTGAGCTAATCTAACCAGTTGGAAAAGTTAATATTGTGGATTATTGTTTATTGAATAGAAATAGTATAGATGTAGCAGTTTAAACTGGGGTGTCATTTTGTCCTATATCTATGCTGAGGTGTATTTAGGATAAGATGAGCATGGTATCATATAAATAAACTGCTCTTTTGGATTTAAATAGGAAATGGTTGCCAGTCTGTTCTCTAAATATTGTTAATTAATATTTCTGATGTTTAAAATAACTCATAGACAACTAGTTTTCAAAATACATCAAATAATAGAATGTTTTAGTCAGTATCCATACTTCAACCATGGTTTAAGATAATGCATGTGGTAGAAAATATACTTTTTTATAGTTTAACTGGTAAACTTTCTAATTTGCATATAAATGCTAGGAATGAAATATATTCCTCATTCTTTGCCAAGCCTTTTTTGTTTTTATATCTTTCTCGATCGAGCAGATATAAGTGTGGAATTTAAATTCTATAACATGCAACAAAGGCTTATAATAACTATGGATAGGTTGAGAATTAACTTGGTAAAAATTTTCGATTTTGAAATATTAATACTTATCCTAATATAAATTTGGCAAGCCTCTCTTGAGTGGCTGAAAAGCAGTATAATGTTGGCATATTCCCAGTAAAAGGCTAATGGTGAAATTGTAGTAAACTCTCTGATATATAAATCCTACAAATGTTGATTAGAAGAACTGAACTATAATATATTCCAATAATATAAATAATCTTGGAGGACCATCATTTATTTGTAAAAGTTTCAAATATTGTATTCTTAAATAAAAATATTGGAAATATTATACCAATATTTCATAGAAATTGATAATTTAAAAATTATTTAATTTTATTTAATAATATAATATCAAATAATTTGATTTGTTGTTAGAATAAACTTTATATATATTAAAATTTAGAATCAATAATGAATCACCTTTACTAATTCTATTTTCATATTTATCTTTAAATAAAAATTTGCTTTCATAAGAATTTATATACCCCTCCTCCCAAGTCAATGACATATTAACTTATATCCCTACCAAAATCAAAATTAGTAAAAAAAAAAGGAAAAACAAATTAGCAGCAAATCTAAATTCAAATTAATCCTTACCTTCTCCAATTTTAATGAGGATCTTTTGTCATAAGCCCTCCTCTCCAATGGTAAAAGTCTGTGAACTTATTCTTGATCAATATTTCTATAACTCATAGCTAGGCTATTTCCTCAATCTTAGAACATTTTTACTATAAAAGTAGTTGTTAGTTGTCTCTTAATTAGAATTAAACAGCTCATTTTGAGCCAATTTTTAAAAAAAGTTATTCAACATTATAACCAGGGAAATACTGCCTAAGTGCCGAGATTTCGCCAATAGATGTTCAATCCTATGTGCCACCTATAAGCAAAATCTGTAGGCTTGCATAATATTTTTCTGGATAAAATATTGAGTTAGCCGTTTTTAACAATCTGCTCAAATTGAGCCATTTAACAACCCTAATCACAAGGTATGCATAATTTATTTTAAAATGTTAAAGAATTTTCAACAAAATTATCTTAAATTATTTAAATAAAACTTGTATTCATCTTAAACATTTAAATTTATTATAATCATTGAAATGAAAATCAATATATATTTAAATTTTATGCAAATAAAACTATTTAAGGATAAAATTTTTATTAGACAATTTGAAAGAATATAATATATTTCAAATTCTGCGATAAAAAGATTCAATAAATTTTTTTCGAATATTTCAAATCAATTTTTTTTTAAAAATGGATTTCATATAATCCTTATAATTTTTATATTTTAACAAAAATATACAATTATTCAACAAATATTTAAGACAAACAAAAGAATTGTTTATAATAAATTAATGTAGATATGTAAAGAATTTAAGAAGTATTCATTTATTAATGCAAAATTTAAATTATCCAAAGGTTTGAAGAAAAAGGTGGAGACCCACAGGTCAGGCCCTAAGATTAGTATGAATAAGTTAAAAAATATTTATTGTTAGGTCTGAACATATTTAGTAGATATTGTTTATTTGGTATATTTTCATATTAAACTAGCATAAATTTTCTTTTACATTTATTTTTTAACATCATGCTGATTTTTAGATAAGCTTATCTCCTACTTGTTAAGCCACATCTTAAAAGTAATTTATGAAACTTGTATGATATTGGGAAAATATATAGAAAAAATTGGTACAAGGCCAATTGGAAGTGGAGGGTTAAAAAAAACAAAATAATATTTAACAAATGTGCTAACATTTGAAAATAAGTAGGTAATACATTTGTAAGGTCACTGAGAAATAGAGGTATATTTTCATATTCAAATTTTATTATAAAATATAAAGTAATATATACAATATCTTTTCTGTCTTTTTCAATTCCAAATTTTCCTCCATACCCAAAAGAGGCTTTGGGCATATTCTCCATTTCTTTTTGTTTAATATCATCATGAGATTTTTTAACAATTTCTCTCAACTCTGTAAAGCTAAATATTTTTATAAAAATATAATATTAAATTGAAATTGATATAAATAGTAAAGGCAATACTTTATGGATTCTTCATTCCCAGTCATAATCGATTTACATCCCCATCTAGGCTGGTCATCTACACCATTTTCCTTAATAAAGTAAAGTTTTTTTTTCTAATAGCATTATATAAAACTCACATTGAAATTTGGATCAGTATCCCAATCATCATTAGAATTTACCTTATTATTAATCGGAGTCATCTGGGTGTGGTTTTATTAATTAAAACAAGATGCATTATATCGAAATTATAATGAAGAAAGAATGAGGTGAATATGAAAATGCTCAATGATGGTGTCTTCAGAAATTTAATTATTACGCAATTAATTTATCAAATATGTGAAATGTAGCTAAATAGATGAATATTGATTTAAATATAAACCACCTTATCATAAGCTGGTTGGACCTGTAAAGTCAGATAGTATTGTAATAAATTTGTTAGACTATGAGTTCTTATTGTTGATCATAAAATCCTAAGAGTAACCTAATATTTTGATATTTTTTGTAACAAATTGACGATCTTGATCACAAGTTAAGCGATCAAAATATTTGTTCTCATGGCATCTGCCAATCATCCGCTTGATCTTTTTATATAACACGCCTTTCTTTTATGAATGAATGAAAAACATAAAATTTTTAAATCTGGATATTTATATATTCCTTCCTCTTCATTATTAAGAGTAAATAAAACTATTAACATAAAATATTGTGCATTTAATTTTAGAAAACATGGTCTAAGAAATGGTTTATTTTGGTAGATCCAGTCTCACCACGATTGGAATGCTATGAGTCTGAAAAACATTATTCAATGGAACTTTTGCTTAAGAATGGATCAAAGCCAAAAAAGCATTTAGCATTATCTCAGATATTATCGGTAAAATATTTGTCATACATTATAATTTGATTATATTTCTTGAATTGGATACTATTTAACATTTAAATCAATTTTTAATAATTTTTAGAATTGATAAATGTGCAGCCACACATGCTGGAATGTTCTATTGGGAGGGAGGGGTTTAATTTTTTTATAATTATTTTAGTAGTTATTTAAGAATATCTTAAGTTTCAAAAATTTATTAGGACAAGTGAGTAAAATATGAACAATTTCTAATACACAAATTTATATAAATTAATGATAGAATGTTAAATTTGTAATTTTTGTAAAAAATTTTGGAAATATAAATCATGGACAAAATTATTCTTAAGAATTATTTCATATATATACATCAGACCTGCAAAGGTACTATTTGAATGGCCTGGCCTGGATTTTTTTCAAAAATGAATTTTTTAGCCAGGCTTTATATTTTCTGGCCTGTCAGGAATATTTTTAAAATCTATTTTTTGGTCTGGCCCGGTTTTTTTAATGCAAATTAATTACATTTAATTTTTATAGCTAATAGTGCTAATTTATATTTGGTTTTAAAATATCAGCCAGACCCAGTATTAAAAAAGTTTCAGGCCTAGCCTAGGTATTAAAAAAAAATTTTTAGGCTAAATACTATTTGTTTATTATTGTATTTTATCATTTTACTTGAAAATCAATATTGTACTAGATATTCTATTCTATATTTTATTAACTTATCATGTGCATTACTTGTTTAGGTATGCATACCAATAAACGTATGATTACCTTAATGTTTTTTCCTCAGTATAAAGATTTCACTATGATTATTTTTAGCATTGCTTTTATTTATGTAATATACTATATTGATCTTTATTGGGCCAAAATTTTCAAGCCCAGCCTGATTACGAAATAGTTTTAAAACAATTTATTCAGCCTGGCACGAACTTGAAAGATTTTTTTATTTGTCCAATTATTATTTTTTCATCTTTTTTACTATAATCTTTTGTTTATTTTTAATTAATATATTTATAAAATATAATAGATATTGACTTATTATACACATATAAATTATACATTCTGCCTTTCTACAAATATAAAGTTAATTATTTTTTTTAATTATAAAAATATGTTTTACAATCAAATAGAAAATATTTGCACCTTATTTCTTGTAGAAATCTTAAAATATATAAATTTTATTTCAAAAAATGAAATCATTATATTTCAAAATTTAAGCCCCATCCCCTGGCATAGCCCTAATTTTTTATAAAATATTCACCTCGACCTAGTTTGAACAGATTTTTTAAAGTGTACTGTATTGTTGTTAAACGGCTCGTTTTGAGCCGATTTTTAAAAACGGCTAACTCATTATTTTATCCAGAAAAATATTACATAAGCTTGAATATTTTTCTCATAGATGGCACAAAGGTTTTGGCAACTATTAGCGAAATCTCGAGATTGAAATAAATACTCTAATAAATTCTCTGCCTTCAAGATATAATATCATAATTTTAGGAGACCTCAACTTGAAAATTGGCAAAAATAAGGAATATGTTAATAATAATATTATTGGAAATGCGACCATGCAAACCAATAAGGAAGATAGCATAAGATTACTTTTGCAAAACCAAGAAAATAGAGTATACTTTTTTCAACCATAGTGAGATAAATACGTTTACTTTTGTGAGAGCTAAACACAAATCCCAAATAGATTTTTTCATATCTAATATCCATGAATGGTTTGAGAACATCAAAGTGTCAACGAGCATGAAACTATCAGACCACAGAATGGTGGTTGCTAAGATGTTTGTAGAGAATATATGGAAATACCATCACAAAACTATCCAAATACATCTGGATACAGGGTAAATCTTTTTAAACCTATACTACCTCAGAAACAAATCAAAGAATAATCTCAGGAAAATTTACAATTAATGGACCAAATGTTAGTCAGGAAAAGAGAAAATTTCTTGAATATGACCGAGAATAGATATGTAGATGTATTCTGGAACCTTTTTAAAAGTAGCATTATAGAGTCATATAACATGCTACCTAATATAAATATCTTTTTATGAAGGAATGGTTAACTAATGAGACAGTAGTTAAAATCAATCAGATTAAAGAAGGAAATGTTTTAAACAAGGAATTATGGAAGGACATACAAATGCTTGAGGAGCGATAGAAGGATATACATTGCAAAGAAAGCTTTTGAAATCGATAGAAAATAGAATATATGATGCGTACACTAAACTAAAATATTTTTGCAACCCCTATAGTTTCAAAAAGCTCCCATCTCTAGTTTTAAAGAACGGGAAACAAATTTCGGATCAAGAGCAAATAGCTTTATTGTTAGATTACTATATGAGGGCCTTCGACTCAAGAAAAGCCCTCTATCAAACGAACATAAGAGAACACTCAATCCCGCCTCCGTCTGGTTTCTCCACTGATGAAAATGGGAAAGCAATCACTAAACTGCGTAATAATAAAGCCCCTGGGCTAGATGAAATAACGGCTGAACATCTTAAAATAGACCAAACACTATATCCTCCTATCTACTACATCTCTTTAACAAAATCTGGGATAGTGGTGAAACTCCCAAAGAATGGAATATCTCTTTATTATGTAATTTCCCCAAGATAAAAGACCCAAAAAATTTCAAAGATTATCACGCGATTGCCCTCACATCTACTGTGTCTAAAATATTCATGGTTCTGATAAAGAACAGAATCATGTCATCTCTGCCAACCTTGCTTCTGAAATATATTTCTGCCTACAGACCAAAGAAAAATATGCTGGAACCAATTTTAGCACTAAAAATAATAATGCAAAATAAAATTCCCGCCCACTTCACTTTCGTTGATTTCAGCAGAGCTTTTGCCAATGTAAATAATGATGCTTTATGGAAGACGCTGTTAGAATGCGGTATCGAATCAAATATAATTCTCATATAAAAAACCACTACAAGAATCTTACCGGTTTTATCAAAATCAACAATAAGACACCCCCCCCCCCTTTTAAGATTAAGAAAGGTGTGAGTGAAACAAGAATGTGTACTTTAACCTCTTCTGTTTAATATCATAATGTATAAAATTATAAATGAAGTCTCGGGAGCCGCGAGTTTAATGGATCTGAGCTCAAACGCAAAGTTACATCTAGAAAATAGGATAATATCATATGCGGATTACATCGCTGTGGTGTCTTTAAGCATCAAAGAAACGGAAAATTTGTTATACCTATTAGAAAATTTAAGTCTAAAAATGGGATTGAAAATAAATTTTAACAAAACAGTCATTCTTCCTTCCCCTATTGCAGCCCAAAATCCAAATATCATAATTGGTGGTAATATTATTAAGGTATAAAATTAAATACTTAGGCATATTGTTGGACAACAAGGGCTGCGTAAAGAAGAGATGAAAATAATAATACAAAAGGCGAAAGGTTTACAAGTATATTAAAATATGGAAACAAAGGAGATCTCTGTTTACACCAGACTTAGAATTTTTAATTCAACAATTATCCCCATATTGCTGGGAATTTAATAAAACAGAAAATAGGGACTCCAATCCTTTTTAAATAATTGTCTTAGGATCATAAATCACATTTTTTATCCGAAGGTTATATCAAATAATAATTTATGGAAAACATCTAAGCATACTCTAGTGTTGTTAAACGGCTCATTTTGAGCCGATTTTTAAAAACGGCTAATTCAATATTATATCCAGAAAAATATTACGCAGGCCTGAAGATTTTGCTCACAGAAGGAACAAAGGTTTAGACATATATTATCGAAATCTCGAGGCTTAGGCAATATTTTTCTGCCTAAAATATTGAGTTAGCCGTTTTAAAAAATCGGCTCAAAACGAGCCGTTTAACAACACTAGCATACTCCGATACACATCTCCCTGAGAAAACGACGCATTAAATTTTTGGCCCATATCATAAAAAATTCGGATCAAAATTTAGTTCATGATGCCATTACATGGCTTTACACCTATAATAAGAAAGAATATACAAAATATAAATCTCTCTGTTACTATAAGACTATTAAAGATGTAATGGAGTTAAATTTAAATATGAAACAATTCATTAAATTAATTGCAAATAGTCCATTAAAAAACTTTTCAGGATAAAGGAAAAATATTTCAAATGAAATATCACCTGTGATTAAAATTTCAATCGTCAACATTTTTTTTCAAATCATAATATGTGACGTTTCTAAATAAGGACAAATAGCAAACTGAATCGGTAGGTACTTTATTTTAATTCTTTATAAAAACTTTAAACTTAAAATCAGCCACAACCTACCCTTAAAGTAATTAACTTAAACTGCAGTTCTTGGGCATAGGCTCTTTTTTTGCCCCGCTCTTTTTTTGCCCCGCTCTTTTTAGTTTTTTAAGCCTATGGACGTCTGCGACATTTTTCGAAATGTTGAGCATACAACTACGTGCGGCTTGCCCACAAGCGTGTGGAGGGCTCCTCATATTTTTTTAACTTATGCCCCAATTAACTTTTGTTCCAATTAACTTTTGTTCCAATTAGATGCAAATGAGGAAAACCTAGGTAGCTCTGTTGTTACTCAGCGTCAGAGGGCATATGCGCTATATGTCACGTATCACGTATTTATACATTTTATCCATTAAATTCTTATTTTATTATGTTTTTCGAATCTGTTTTTAATAACAATTCTAAAATATATTAAATTAATTAAAGTAATATATACTATACATATCAAAGGATTTCATAAAATATGGCCCTACTTATACACAATAGCATTTGAAATATTTCCACAAATGTTATTTATATCTTCATTTTTGTAAATTATATTCACATTATTTTTTTGAAATATTTATTTTATTAATATATAAAATAATTTAAAAAATATAAATATACCAATAAAAAATTCCTCAAATTAATTTAATTTATAATAATTTAAAAAAGTATATAATATAACAGAAATCATATCATATTATCCTAGAAATTTGTTTAAATTATCTCATCATTCATTACCTAAATAAAGGACTGCACATAAAGTATATTTAAACCTCATAGGTTTGCAGAATTTCTATTTTATTTCGAAAGATAACTGGTAGGAATGAAAAATCCGAAATTTTAATTAAAAAAACATTTAAAATAAAATTTATATAATATTTTAATTATTAGTGTTGCTATACTGACAATTTAATCATGTAGACATTTCCTATTTTTTAAAAAATATATGGTTAATAATTAAAAAAGGGAAAAGGTGTCCTAACTTATAGTATTTTAAATATCTAATCTATTTATGATGTGATTGTCCACAAATGAAATAGATTAAGGCTAACCAAAAGTCAAAATTTTAACAACAAAAAATAGCTTTGAACATAGCCTAAAAAAGTCCCTTCCAATTCTATTTTTTGAGAGAAATTATCTTTTCTCCATAATTCGCATTTTATATTATATTTTTTCTACCTTTTTTGGTGTCTTTATTAAGTATTATTAAATTAAAAGGATAATAATTTTTGACAAAATGCAACCTAGAAAGGTGACAATTTTAATTAATTAATTATTATTTTTTTATTTTTACAAAAAATTTGGCCAAAGCAAAATTTTCTTAATTAAACCAACGACTTCATTTGATATCCGATAGCTTTTTTAAAATAAAAATTAAACTTGGAAACTTCCGTAACTTTGACGGAATAAAAAAAATAAGCTCTTTTTAATATAAAAATAAAAACATGTCCCAAACATAATTCTAGAAAATTTTAACACACGATTTGATTGAAATTTAAATATTTTTGGAAGTTTTTAAATTTTTGCTAATTTTTAAATCAGATTTAGGACATGGCCTTATTTTAAAAAAAAACATTTTCTATTATTTTAAAATTTAAATACGATTCTGCATATTCTTTTAAAAAGGTTGGTTCACGTTTCCTAAATTAGATGCGGTTCCGGGAATTTTGGTTCCTGTTCCTAATTCTGTTAAAGAGATTAAAAAAAGTTAAAAGTATCTAAACACATAAATAAACCTCATAACATGAATCACACATGTTAAACGACATATATAAAATACATGCACTGTTGTTGTAACTGGTTCCAAAATGGATTCCTGGAAATTATGAAATGGATTCTTCTTCCTATAAATTTTAAAAGAAGGTCCTAAACTTTGATTAAAATGTATTATGACTTAAAATATGTAACTGTTGAAAGTTTTCACCCTACCATGCCAAATTATCATTATTTTCGCCCAAAACGTATAATATTTCTTAACCCATTTTTACTAACAGTTTTTTTTAAAAATAATATTCTCTTTTATTATTTGTCTTTAGACATCCACTATTTTCAGTAGGATCAAAAACCCCCAATATTTTTATATTGTAATATACCTCTGCTGGTAGATAGACTTATGAATAATCTGTTAACTCTCTTTCTGCCAAAATTTTTTCTCTTATTTGAATTTATAATGCTCAGACTCACGAATTTGGATATTTGAGGCCTTATACACTCTTCACATATTTGAACAAAGTAAAACTTAAAAAGCCTATAAATGATTAAAGTATAATATAATTTTAAAAAAAAATTAATAAGCAGGTTATAGTTAATTTATTAAATTAGGATAGATAAATTAACATAGTCGCACATTTTAATGATTTTAGTCTAGTAGGCGGATATCTATGCATAAGGTGACACCTTTTGAAACATATTTTTTTTTATAATTTTAAAAATTAATATTAACATAAATTAATATACACCTATAAGAGGTAGGATATAATGAGTTGGGGTAATATAATATATCGGTGCCTTATTATTGTAAGGTTCTATGTCCACTTTTGGTCTAAATTGAGTTAAGGGCGAAATTTTATTCTAAGGGGCTCCATCCATCCCCTTATGTTCAAAAAATCACAAAATATCAATTATAAATATATTTTTTATTTAATAAAATAATGTTTTGACATTTTAATTATTATCATAGAGTCATATTTATTTATCCAATCAAACTATTATTTTTATCGCGTGATAATCATAAAGATTTAATTTATAAATATTTATACTAATGATCTGCATCGAGTCTTATTTTTCTAACCCATTCCGGCTCAAAATTTTTAAAAATGTCCAACCAGATCCCGAACGAATTTTTTTTATTTGTCTCGAAATGCCCGATCCGATGTAAAAATTATTTGCCCCCCTTTGGCACGGCCCGAGTTTATTTAAATATAGAAAAATTATTTTTTTTAATTGCAGAACAAAAATAATATACTGATAATAATATTGGCTCCTTGATTCTGGCGAGAATTTTAAAAATATATCATTATTTCACAAAATTGAATGGTATCAAATTTAAAAATTTAATCCCGGCCCTAATTTTTTTAAAAAATTTTGGGCCCAAATTATAGAAGTTTAAACCTACAATAATGATAATTAGAAAAAGGTAGCGCTTGATAGTTTTGCCGGTTATGCTAGCTAAGATTAGGAGAATTAAATTCCTAATGAGTAAAGGAAACGTAGAAAATGAAAAATTACCAACTTTTTAACATAAATTAATGTTTTTTTTTAACTTCAGACATAGGGCTGATGAAACATAAAATATCCATTTTGGTTTTGAAATATTCAAAAATAATTTTTGCTTTAATTTAAAAACTTTTTGTTTTGGTTTTCAGTCCCTTCCTTTTAGACCATTATAATCTCGGGTCTCCGGAATTAACTTCCACTTTCATATTTTATACCTTCATCTATCCCGATCTTTTAACTCTCCTCCATTTTCTAAATTTATCTCTTTATCAATCTAACATTGGATTACCACAATACCCCTTTCTCATTCTACCCATAATCTACTTGGATATAAAAAATTTACTAATGTTACTGCTAGAGCCACCCAAACACGATAATTTGGTCAAAACTTAAGTATTATGAGTAAGACTAAGTAGGCCTTTTCCAGAAAATCTAAAAATTAAATATTCGATTTTATAACATTTGTTAGTAAGACCAATCGGTCAAATACTTTATCAACGCTATCATACTCTTACGATTGACACTTCCTTAAAATTAGATAAAAGACAAGCCGAATAAGGGTCGTCCGCTAACTTTCGAAATCGTATCCAAGGGGACTAAGAATCAGAACATAGTTACCTTAGCAGCTGCCGAAACGGAGACAGACCTGAATAGCTGGTTAACGGCTCTAAGACTGATCAAGGGAAATTGTACGAAGAATTGGGATAAAGAAGATAATATCAACGATGTAAATTTATCAGATTTCGATGATATTATATCCTATAATATTTTATTTAAGGGCTATGATCTCGGCCATTTTTTTTCGAAAAATGATTATCATCTAAAGAGATTGGAATATTTTTTTTATCATGTTAGAATTAAATAAAATTAAGAAATAGGATTGGTAAAAAATTATGAGTTTTTTTTATCAAAATCGATTTTTGATCAAACCGCGTTTTTTAACTAGATCCAATTTTATAATAAAAAGTTATATTTCCCGGAGGAAAATAAGTCATAAGGCAAAGTTATTAATATAACAAGGATTCATTTTTTCCACTTCCCTTTTCCTGTGAAATTTATTGTTAAATTTTCAGTAATTAATATTACCCAAAATGATAATCTAATACACGCTTGAACTCTTTGCCAAAAAATCCGGGTTCAGGGCTTGGGGAGCACAAAGAAAATTGACTATATTATTAAATAATATATTTTATTTTATTCCCCTATATAAACATAATTTATTAGCAAAAAAATTTTAAAATCATATTTTTTATATTATTAAATCCGAAAAAGTACTCATCATAATTTGCTTATATTTTAATTTAAATAGATTATATAGAAATATTGGATTTTATTTTCCTTTTATGATTTTATGTTTTTGTCCCAATATTTTACTTACTAAAATTGATTTAAAAAAAAAACAAAATAAGCAAAGTATTTATATTATTAGCATATTAAATTATCATTTATAATAAAATTTTACCTAAAGTGGGATGCAAAAAACTGAAAATTTTTTAAAATGCGAAGAAAATGTTTATTATTCATGAATTTTTTTAAATACAATTTATTATTTTGAGAAATCTTTTTAAACCTTTTATTTGATACTTCCTTCAACTTTTAAAAAAGGGTTTGGGTTCTGCGTCAGCAAAAACATGATGGTTCAGGTTCGCATCCCTAATGCTGAGTATATACATATATATCACTAAAATATGTTTTAGTCATTTATAAAGTTTTCTTTAAATTAACTATACTCTTCTTTATGGTAGCATGTTCTCTTTTTATGTTTTTTGTATTATTGTTTACATATTTTTATAAGTTTTAATAGAAAAAAAAATTTAAAATACTTTTTTTAAATTTATATTATTGAATTATGTACGCATATGAAATAAAACAAATTTATCATTTAAAAATACAAGAAGAAATAGATACTACTTCAAAAATGTAAGAATTCATTTATTAATTATGAGATTTTTTTTAATGTGAATTGATATATTTATATTTTTGGGGCATGGGATGGAGCCAATACCAACAAATTTCTCAATTATTTAGGAATAGATGAAATGATCTGGTAGTTTATAATTATAATAGAACATTTGACCATTATTGGATCTAAGTAAAAATATAAATGAGTATGCTTACATTTATTTAAGGCTAGAAGAAGAATCCCCCTCAAAAAACAATTAAAAAGATCAGCTTAATAAAATTAAGCTTGGTAAGAAGTCTGGATCTGGAGGATCAAAGACCTCTTATAAATGGTTAGAATATTTAAAATTTATGGAACCTACGATTGCTGATAGGCTAAATACAGTAATTTTGATGGCGATAGTATTAAAAGAGTTTATTCATCCCAAAGCCAAAAATTGAAGCAAAAAATTGGATGAAAAATTGTTGAATCTTATAAATCAGAGCTATCTCCAAATAGGAAAAATTTATAATAATCTTAAAAAGCTTATATTTCTTCAAGATTATTTTGACCTTCAATGGAAGAAGGGCTTGTTGCTTTTAGTATGCCCAATACTTATTTAAATCTGAAGCACTATAATTCTTCTACTCCATCATGGTAAATAATTCTTTAGAACCATCAATAGAAAATCGTGAAGAAGCTCTTCAAATATTTAACAACATAATTGAAAAGATCTATTGTATTGTTTAAGAAATTATCTTGTATTTATATTTTTACTTCAAATAAATTCTGGTATAAGGTAATCAGAATAAAGATTTCAAAATTTAAACACAATTTTATTTTATTATATAAATTTATTTATTAAGTGATATTCTAAATATTCAATTACATTATTTGATTAAATATAACATTGATATATAAAAAATAATTAAGAGTTTAAAATCTTTTTATTTTTTTCTTAAATTCTTGATTCAATTATTGATGATTTGTTTTGTCTGCTGATAGAGAATGGTCTAGTGGTCAGGTTGTGCACTGTATCTTTTACATATAAAGAAAATATAAGGTACTATAATATTTGTTTTACCTGTGTCATCAACATCAGCAGCTATTCCTTCATTGCTTATAATTATATTATGTAATATGCATATTGTTTTAACAATAATTTCAATATAAACCAGGCTAATTTCTATTGGTCTACTTGAAAGTTCAATTTTTTTACAATACCTCCAAAACTGCGTTTAACACACACGGGCATGTGATAATCTAGATAGACCTTTTTTAGGATAGGGTTTCATCAAATAAGATGAGAATGGAAATGCATCATCAGCCACCATTATAGTGAGCACAAAACGAACCTTCACGTTTTGCCATACTTTTTTAATAAAAAACGTAACGCTTGCTTCGTTTAAATTGAGTCAGCATTTTAAAATTATTTATAATTTTTTAATTGTAGTTTATTAGCATGGATCAAGAAAAAATGTTGGCATAAATTTATTACTAAAACATAAAGAAGGAGGAAAAGCAGATGAAAAACATTACCTATATATATTGAAAAGCAATTATTCTCTGAGTATGTTACAATGGAAAGTGATCTAATAACATCTCAGTTCTTTAATTATGCAAGAATAGAGGAAAGAGAATATAACGAGATTATCACATGCTTGTGTTAGTGTTGAACGCAATTTTTGTGGTATTGTAAAAAATTGAACTTTTAAGTAGACCAATAGAAATTACTGGCATATTAAAATTATTTTTAAAACAATATGCTTGTTACATAATTAAGCAATGAAGGAATAGCTGCTGATGTTGATGACACAGGTTTAACAAATATTTTAGTACCTTATATTTTTATATGTAAAAGATACAATGTCAAACCTGACCACTGGACCATTCTCTATCAGCAGACAAAAACTAGTTAATGGGTTATTTATTAAAGATATTATAATTTCTAGAATTAAATATTTTTATTTAAAGCCAATTTTAATGTAATTTTTCAATCTTTAATAATAAATTTGGACACTATATTTATAAATAAAAACTTTATTTAGAAAAATATATAAACAATTAAATACATATATATAGAAATAATTTATTCTATTAAATAAAAATATAAATACAAGATAATCTCTTAAACATATGTATACAAATAATTTATTCTATGCTATTAAATATTTGAAGAGCTGTTTCACCATTTTCTATTGATGATTCTATTAGTGGTTTTATGGAATAATTTATCGTGATGGAGTTAAAGAATTTAGTACATCAGATTTAAATAGATATTGGGTAGGCATACTAAAAGCATCTAGCCCTTCATCCTTTGAAAGTAGAAATAATCTTGATATAATATAAACTTTTTAAGATTATTATTACCTATTTAGAGATGGCTTCTTACTTATAAAATTCGACATTTTTTCATCCAATTTTTAGCTTTGGAATGAATTAACTCTTTGAATACTCTCACCAGTATCAAAATAAATAATGGTTGGCCTATCAGCAATCATAGGCTCTATAAATTTTAAATATTCTAACTATTTATAAGAGGTCTTTGATCCTCCATATCCAGACTACTTATCAAGCTAAATTATATTAATCTGGTCTTAATTTTTAATTGTTTTTTTTCAGACATTGGCATAAGGTATCGTACTGTGGCTAGCATTGAATAAATGTAATCATGCTCATTTATATATATACTTAGATCCAATATTGGTCAAATGTTCCATTATAATCATAAACTTCTTATGATCAGGATGTTCCTGATACCAGATCATTTCATCTATTCCTAAATAATTGAGAAATTTTTTGGTATTGGTGCCATCCCATGCCCTAAAAATATTAATATATCAATTCACATTAAAAATAATCTCATAATTTATAAATAAATTATTACATTTTTGAAGTAGTATCCATTTCTTCTCGTATCAAAATCTAAATTATTATTATTAAAAAAAGCTTCCAAAAAAGCAAATCAAGTTACGTGTTTTTGAAATGGGTGAAATTGGAAAACGGAAATGTGCCCAATTTAAGCGAATGGAATTGAAATGCATTATTTGCTTTTGCAACGCAACGTTTGAAACGCTCAATTTGTGCGCACTATTATGTAGATTTGATGGGAAAAATTTCCATATTTTTTTAATTTATAATATAAATTATTTCACACTTGCAAAAATTGATAAGATAACATATTAATATTTTTAACAGTTATTATAAGTTAAATAATTTTATTTGCAAATAAGTTGAAGAATACGGAAATGGTTTCCATCAAATCTGCACAACACAGTATAAGAATTAAATTTGGGTTAGCATACTGGGCAAATTTTTTAGTAACAATTTAAAATCAAATGCACCACTTAGGATTGAATACAAACTATGCGGACATGATCAATAAACCAGCTGATCATGATCGTATTTTTTTACATTTGTCAAAACAATTTATTTTTCTAAATAATAAAATTTAAAGAAACGATTAATGGGCCACCCAGAAATTCAGGTGACAGACGGCGACAATAACCCTATTGTCAATTTAAAATCGGAAAATATAGTTGAAAAGTCGTCATTAGGAAAAAAGACCAACCTCAAGGGAACTTACAATAAAGCAAAAGATAATATCGGCAAAACGCCGCCTACCACTAACTGCAACGAATCTACCGAAGCCAGTATATTTAATTTTTTTTTTAGCTTTTAAGAAATTTAAAAAAAAAACGAATTAAAGAAAGAAGTATAATAAGTTCTTAGAATTTTTTTTCTAAGTTATTTATGCCACAGATATCATTTCCTCCAAGGCCAAAAACGAGCAACCATTCTTGGAACCGGAGTCCATTATTATCCCAGAGGAAACTAAGAGTACAGATTCGACATCCCTTAATCCTAGTGAAGGAAACTTGCGTAAGTTAATCAAGGAAAGTTTCGAAGAACACGAAAATTTGGTTTACAGCTCAGCTGAATTGCGTAAAATTATTTATTTTTACTGCTTGCATTTGTAATATTTCATTCTATGTCTTCTCGCCCCTTGTTTATTGTTATTGAAACCTATTTTTTTTAGGGGTTGTACCAATACAACCTTTTAGAAGCTATTCAAAATTTGACTGATATCGAATGGAGAGTATAGTACACCAGGATGTGCATATAAAATGCTTTGCATATAAAACTAATAGACTGGTTATTTCAGTTTTAAAAATAATAACTGGTAGTGTTGTTAATGTGTAACCCATGTTAATCGATTCTTTTTAAAGGATCAAATCTAGATAACTATCTTTTCAAAATAAAAGTTCGAAATCCAGGATCAACCTTTCTTTAAAAAAAGGATCGCGATCACCACACTTTTCTTATTTTATAAATTTCTGAAAAAAATTTATGCACAATTAACTAATATAAAATTAAATTAAATACAATGTAAATTTATTGTGATTAATAGAATAATATAACAATATTAATATATCTATTTGTAATCAAAATTCTAAATTATTATCATTAGCACCCGTCTTTCATTAAAAACATATTTAGCTTTACTAAACAAGCGCTCCTGATGGCAAAGGTATTATAAATTTTTAATTATATCAGTAAACAAAATATCTTAAATCATCATTTGAATAAAAAAGATTATTAAAGAAAAGCGCATTTTGCGAATTTTTTCCAAGAAAGTATCGTTTTTTTCTATACAATCATTTGAATAAGCATCTTCATGTATTTGATCCTGCAGGTTTTCCAAATGGGTAATTAACCTTGGCAAATTGATATGAGGCCAATTAAGGGTGAATTATTGCTGCTAATGTCACTGTCCTCACAGAATGAAGGAAATCTCTATTTTAAGAAATGATAACTATTATTATAGGAGTTGAGGAAAAGGTTCTCATTTCTATCTGCCTAACTATGTGCATTTTCTTCTAGATCTATAATAGACATTAGTAAATGTCATATATGGATGAGGTGACAATTTGAAAAAAGAAAGAACGTCGAAAAAGAAATTGAAAACGCATTCATTATTTAATTTTTTTATTACATATTATGAATATATTGTGGTGTTTTTGAAAATATAGAATAGAAAAAATACACTATGATAAGACAATAAAATAATTTATATAAACTTAATTGACGATATAGATTGATATATATTTATTTTAGGTACTTAGGAAAGAATTTACTACAATAATAAAATACAAATAAAATAGAAAATATATACAAATAATTTATTTTATTTTTAATTCAATAAATCTATATCAAATTCATAAATGTTGTCTAGATAAAATTTATGAGGAAAATAAAATATGACGGAGATAGATATTATTTATATACTTTTTAAGTAAAAAATGAAATTTTTTAAAAGGGCCGAATATTTAATAAAATGATCTCGATCACTATCCCAAACTTAAGAGGAAATCATAAATCTGGGCAAATTGTCAAAATTAGGATCGAATCCTCCTTCAATAACTTTGGTGTAATCAAACATTTACCCTTTTTTGTGGAATTTTAACTAGTTACATTTTGAAAAGGGTAACTTTAACCTGTTAATATATTTTTTGGGAATTTGTTACCTTTACAATTTTATTTTATTATATATTAAATTGTGTTAGATCCTTTTTTATAAATGTGTTTTAATTTTTTTAAATTAAAGTTTGAAATTCATATTCGTAATTCTTGTACTAGCAATGATATCTGTAATTTTATATTGCGTAATATTTTTTGGCTAAAATATTGGTAGCCATTTTTAAAAATCGACCCTTTTAACAACACTATAATGAATCCCCTTGTAATGCTAGTGTTGTTTACGGCTTGTTTTGAGCCGATTTTAAAGACGGCTACAATATTTTAGCCAGAAAAATATTGCTTAAGCCTCGAGATTTCGCTAATATTTGTCTAGACCTATATGTCATCTATGAACAATCTCTTCAGGCTTGTGCAATATTATTCTGGATAAAATATTGAGTTAGTCTTTTTTAATAATCGACTCAAATCGAGCCGTTTAACAACACTAAATGCTTTTAATCATTTAATATTTTTTATCCAATTTTTACTTCTATTTAAGATGAAAAATAACCGAAATGTCAGATGGTAATATTTACAATGAACATTTATTATACTAGATCAGTTTTATAATATTTATACATATAAGAAAATCTGAGGGTGAAATAATTGTACTATGCAACCTTTTCCAGCTATAAAATGATTATTTTTATTATTTAGAACATGCATTATTCTATAGCAATTAAAAATAATAATAGATTTAGACAATAAAATAATATATTACAGTAGGACAAATAATTAACATCATCTTTTGAAAAAAAAATTAAAATAATTATAATGCAACCATTGGATTCGAGTAAATTAACTAGTTAGGTCTAGCTACGTTGGTAAGGTAAATTTTTAACCTTGAATGTTCAATTATCTGATATTGGGGAAGGGGAGGGATAAGACCAGGATTTAATAGATACTTCTATGCAGGGTTGTATATGTGATTGGTCAATTTACCCATATTTGACCGGTAAAATGTCAAATTCAAATAAAATTAACTATTTTATATATAATAATAAAAAATGAATCTATGTAATATTAAATTATAAATTCTATAATTAATGTTTCGCTCTCCATGGCAGAGTCTTGTTCTGATTTATATTTAATTTTATCATTTTCTTTAATATTTTTAATCAATCTTAGGTTATGATATACTCTTAGCAATTTTTTGGTTGTCGAGATCTTTAATCGATATCCTTTTTCCATATAAATATTACCCCAAACCGACCTAAAAAAAGTGTAACTAGGAATTGTTAGTAAGATATTAGACACTTCTCTTAATGTTCAAGGGTGAACAAAGCCCATTCCAATAATTTGAGCCCTAAATCTGATTATTTTTTATGAAAGTTACTGATTTCCACATATTTAGACTATTAAATATACCGCCGCTTTTACTTCTGAAATTTTTATCACTAAAATATTTTGATTATCATCACCTTGTAAAATGTCTAGTTCTTGTATTATATCACATGCTTTATCAAACTCACTACTAGTAAGACCCTTATATTGGGGATTCAATAAATTATCAGCAGTGTGAGCACATGTATTTGGATTGTTTTTTATTTTTCAAACGTATCTTTTTTTTCTTCAGGTGAAGAAATTATAAAATTATGGTATGATTGAATTATGTGTTTTTCAATTTAAGCATCTTGCCAAGTTACATGTATCCCTTTGAACTCCAAAATAGCTTTAACAAAATTATTATATTTATTTATTGAGATCCAATCAAAATATTCTTTTATATTCAAAATGATACTCTTTCGATCAATTGACTGACATGCCTAACTGCTTTTATATTCATAAAAAACTTTTTTAGATTAGAGCATAATATATTTGTCTCTAGGATAATTGGGTAATGGCTAATTTGGATCAAACTACAGGTACTCGAATAAAATTCGCCATTTTCAGCTTTTTTAGTTTCAGCGGTCATGTATTTTTTCTTCTTTCTATTGGATCACATATAAAGTGAAGTGTTTAAACTTTTTCCAGCGAATGGTGTGCGCACCAATTCGATATTTTTTTAAAAAAATATGCGCATCCATGCTATTTTTTATTCACGTATTTTGGCTATTTAGGTTGCGGTAACCAAGGTAGATACGTTGGGAAGAATATTAGGCCGTAAATTTAAAATGACTTAAAGCCTTTTAATTTATAACTGAAGGAAATTATTAATATATAAGAATGCCTTAGTAAATTTTATTCCTTTAATCACTTTAGTTGATTATTTAAATGGGAAAATAATTATTTGTAAAATAAGAAGAAACTTAAATACAATTTTCTAGTCCATTAAATGAGAATAGAATATACATATATCAAAAAATACTATATTTTTTAAATGATTTTAATTTTTCCAATTATATTAATTGTTTTTTAAAAAATAGATTAATTTTAACCAAAATATTTAAAGCAACTGGTTACAAGGTGAGCTTAGTGCCAACCGAACCCTCTAAAAGGTGCAAATTGCTCTCGTCAGCTATTAACCATCCTGACGATGAAGGTGCAGAAAAGGAAGGAGATAGGTACTACCTATTGGTATCCTCGCAAAATATAGCTCTTTCTTCAACCTTGCTCAATGGGAAACCCAGCAATCATTACCTATTCGTTTGGCCTTACCGGTCAGTTTTTATTTATATGTTTTCCCTACCTTTCTTTAAGTATTTTTAACGCCAAAAGACTTAAGAACTGTTTTTGGTATCGGGATTATCCGAAGTCGGGTATAGCAGAATATGGCATATGAAAAAAAATATAAAATGCTTATTTTTTTGAAAAAAACTAAATATTTCAAATCTCATCATTTAATCCATGGCACCTATTTTTTGTCTAACTTAAAACCTTCTTTGTATTTTCGGTCTTCGATATAATGCGATGCCCTAAAGAGTGCTAGGAAGTTAGTGCCAAAAGAAGTCAATATATATTTTATTCTCTATTTAATTTATTATATAATTAAAATGCATTATTTAATTTTCAATTTATTATACATTATAAAGAAAATCTGACAGATCAAATGAAAGTTTTTATGAGATTTTAAAATCTTTTGATATATTATGTTTTTCTTTTGAGCGCAGTAGAAAGTAACATCTGAAATATTTCGAATTAATAAAATGAAAAATATTCAAATCTGATTATAATTAAAAAATATTTGATTTTTTATTAGATAGTTAAAAATCTATTGAACCTCGTTAATTTTTTTTTTAATTTTTAGCTTTCACCTTTTTTGGTGGTAAGCTCCTTCAATATCTCTATCCACTTTATTAATCATGCTATCTATTTTTATCTAATTTATATTTCTATATTCTTATTGATTCCATTTGGATCTCCAATTGGAGTATCGCATTTGATGAAAATAAAAAAAAGTTTTCAAATCTTATTTTTAAAGATTTTGCATATTTTTAATTAACTTTTGAAATTTGCCACAAAGATGCCGTTGAACTTATTTCTTCATCAAAATTTATCATGCAGCAAAGACACTATAGAGAAAACATTGAAATTGATAGTTCAGTTACAAAGGCCTTATCAAATCAATTTTAAAATCCTTTATTTTAATTAGTCTACAAATCTGAGAAGTTAATCCTAGTTTTAGAGGCATTCTTAAATTAAAAAAAATTCATTCTATATGCGCATCAACTGTACTCAGCTTATATAAATAATTGTTGTCAAATTTACATGTCGATCCTCATTCCTTAAGCATCTAGATTTGTATGACGTATAATAAAATTTTATACTAACAAAAATTTATGATCGAAGGAGGTGTTTTTTACGCCGAAAATCATTTCAAGCGGATTAAAAAGTGATTATTATTATTCAAGAAAGTCCATCCTAATCTGACTAGAATTGAAAATATTCGATTATTCAAATCTATCTAATTAACCCTACACAGATTTAGTTAGTAAAATGTTTTAGCATGGGCATTGACCTTTCAATAATAATGATAATAATGCGAAAATAATTATGAGAAGGTGGATATCTATACTTGGAACGTTTAAGGTTATAAATATAAATTTCGCCTAAATAACATAGTAAATAAAATAAAAACGAGTAATTTAATTGACGCACGTCCGTCCACCATATCGCATCCTTTTTCTTAAACTGTTCTCAAAAAAAGTAACCATATTGTCCTGCCCCATATTATTTAAACAAGAGTTCTGCAGGCGATAACATCGTCAATAAAAATATAACCCATTGTCCTGAAAATATTATTTTTTACTTTTTTGCCTGATTGAATATTACAATTGTGCAAAATTAATAAAAAATAATTATAAAAGTCAGGAGTTGGAAAATATTGACTATTAATTTTCATATAATAATTTTGTTAATAGAATGATTGCTGAATATTTAAATCTAATGCATAACATTTTAAATAGAGAATATAAATAATGAATATTTATTGAGATTTTTTCTTTATACTCCTTTTAAAAAAAATTTGGGTTGTGGATGCAGATCTCTAATTCGAACCATCTTAAAATCTTTATTGCCATGTTTTTGTCCAATAACATCATTGTTCCTGCCCCACTTCTTATTCGTAGTTTATTTTTATATATATAACTTGAACTTCATGTAATTATTGCCAAATAAACCATTTATGCATATGATATTAATCACCTATATATCCGCATCCCATTCAATAACCCCCAACAATTCAAACTTTCCTCCATCTCCAAAACCATATGATGTGGTTTGATTATTCTTGTCTGCCAACCCCCCCCCTCCCGTTCGGTTGCTAATTATAATTACTACTTCTCTCCCCCACTTTTTTTATCCAATCTAAAACCTCATGCAGTCGCAAACCTTGGATAGTCCCAATGGCGTTAAACTGGTCCTCGCAGATCCCGTTTTCGTTTGAAGATCATGGCGGTCACCATAACCAATTCTGCACCTACCATTGTCACTAATCGTACTCACATGTGGACTGTTCACAAGACGCTAAGCGTTGAAGGTCCTTGAACAATTCATTGCGCTTGAACCACCATGAGGTCACTGGAGAGACCTGCAGGCCCAGCTTTAAGCCATTTTTTTAAATTTACGCCCGGCCGTATATTTTAAAACCAAATATTTGAAATCGCCATTATTAGCTGTAAAAATCAAAAAAATTAAAATATATTTTAAAAAAATACGGGCAGGGCCTGAAAATTTTTGATAAAAAATAGTCCGGGCCGGGATGGTACCTCTGCAGGTTTCTGGGTCACTGTTTACCACTCCTGTGTAGTCATCATAACTTGTCCCTGTCGATTGGCCTCATCGATGGACTATCCCCGTTTAACTCGAATCTTCTTTTAAACTACCCCCTAGTATCTTCGATGAAAAACATCTTCCGAATAGAAGGTGGGGACTATGGTTGATAATTTATAGCACCACTCATCCTCATATTCAACCTATATAGTGACTATAGCTGATAACCCAGAGTCTTATAATAATTTTTATAGTTGTGTCTTAATTAGCCAGGTTTTTTTTATTAGTAACCATTTTCCCAATGTCCAAATTAACCAGGTTCTTTTATCAATAATAATTTTCCTAATGTTTATATTACCATAGATCCATAATCATAATCCTCAAACCAAATTACCATGTAAATGCCACTATATCATTAGTATTCATGTTTTCACAATATTATTTCCCATAATGTTCCATTTTTACTGAGTCATCAATTTTCCAAAATTAATTTCATATCGTCACTATTTCAACTAAATTCCCGAATTAATTATCGCAAATTATCCATAATCTTAAATTCATATTTGAATCCATTTATCGCTTTCCAAATGGCTCTTCATATTTAATAAATATTTTTCATAATCAATAAAATCCCAAATCATTACCCGAAATCCAATAATTATTTGATTCATTCTTCATTTGTACCAAATTAACTATTTCTTATTATTTTCTTCCTTTTGCCAATTCATTCATCACCCAATTTTTCTTTGTCAGCAATTATAATAATTCATTCAATATCAGAACCATTACATTAATTTATTACAATTATTCCATAATTTATTCATTGTCTAAATTCTGATCCATAATTATATCTTTATCCCAAACTTAATTTCATGAAATATCTAATACATTCATATAGCTCAGTATAATATTGCATACAAAAAATAGTTCATACTTCAATACGGTTCACTAATATATTTCATTTGATCAGGTTAATCCCATAACGTCGTCAATCTGTAGCATATATATAACTTGGATTTCGTGTAATTCTTTATTGCAATCAAATAAAGTATTTATATAATACAATCATAAACACTCATCCCATTCCATAATCCTCAGCAATCATTCTTCAACTTTCTTCCATCCCCAAAACCATATGATGTGGATTGATTATTCTTGTCTGTCAATCCCGTGTTCGATAGCTAATCATTACAATAATATTTATTTACATGTAAACATTATAGTTATATACGGCGTTATGGCAGGAGCCGCAATGGCAAGGCTTTTACCTTCGAAGCAGGACGAAAATGCGAAAGCGGGGAGGGTTTATTTACGTTTAAAACGAAACTCAACCTGGAACTATTTTTACAAGTCGCGCGGAATATGAAACGATTAAAGGAAAGACTAGTCGCTAATTCGCCAGAGGGTCTCGCTCCACTTCCGAATGGGAATGAAAAAATTATCGGTTAACATTTGCTGCCTATTACAGGGTTGCAGGAGATTTATTTGAAAATAAATACTCTAAAAAAAGAATTAAGTGATAAATAGGTTCTAAGTGCTTAAAAAATACAAATAGCTATTTTTTTACAAAATTTGAAGAAATTTTTGAAAAATAAAATTAAATATTTTTTTAAAAAAATGTAAATACCATTCTTTTCCGTTTGCGATTCTATTATTTTTTTGAAGGGACACCTATCCTTTATAAAAAAAATTTACGAATCCCAAACCAATTAATAAAATATTAATTTATTGAAATTTAGAAAATATAATTTTTTTCTTCTTCAAATAGTTGAATATTTTATTTTGGGCAATAATCTATAATTACAAGTAAACTACAAAACATATAATATTGGAATAATAATTTAATTTTGTGAGAAAAATAATATATTTTTTTAAAATTGTATTCTCGTTTTAGTGTTCCGATATTAGCATCTATTATTTTTATATAAATAGAGAAAAGATATAAATATATTTAAAATATTAATAGGTATAAATTTATATTACCTTTAATTGATTGTTGTCCTCAATAACCAGGTTTCCAAGATGATTATAAAAGTTTGTAAAATCGTAAGACGGTATATATATCGAAGCAAAATTATTTACGATTTGATCTCTATTGTTTGGCCATGGATTTATAGACCTATATTTGTTTTTCATGACTCCAAAAAAGTTTTCTATAGGATTTAGTTGAGTCAAATATGGCGGATGATATTTTTATAGCCATCGATAAGATGTGCCCTAAAAGCTCATCGCATTATATCAATATGTTTGGCAATATACTTTATCTTCATTTTCCTTTTCAGCTTGGGATAACATTCTTGTTACTATTTCGATTTCTATTTATTCCAACAATTTTTGGGTTTTGAATTAGGGGTGAGTTTAACCAGTTTATTATTGCAGAATTATCACTCATGGCAGATTGCGAAAGTGCTGGAATGGAAAAGGGAATTATCAAATATTGATTAAAAATTTGTGCGAATATTCTGATTGAATTGTCATTGATATTATTGGATAAAATATTTTATAGAAAGTTTTATGAGAAATATTTTGTTTAATAAATTTATCTTCTATTACATAAATGAGGTATTTGTATTTTTGTTTTTAAGGTATTACCAAATAAAACACTTGCAACCCTGTATATTCAACCTTTATTTCAACTCCTTTTTTTAAATATATTGGAAAATAGGAACGATATATTTTTGATTTAAAAATATTCGATTAGGTAATTGGACCCTAACTCCGAAAAAAATATTTACCGGTTAAATTTTTAAGTTTTCGCTTTTTAAGGTGATTGAGAATAAATGAGGGATCATACCCAAATTTTTTAGCGCCTTTCATTAAGGGTTAAAACTTTTGATTAAAGAAATAAAATAGCTAGTGTTAAAATAAGGGAACCCGATATATTTTTATATTTCGAATAAAAATCTAGGATATTGCCCAAATTACCATATTTCTTTCTTTTGTTTAATCTCCTCGTCTCTCAAACTTAAATTTGCCCCCCCCATTTTAATTTTAAGTGATTAATGATAAAAAGGAAGGATAAGACAAAATCGAAGATAATATTTTTATACACGCAAGAAATTTTTTTAAATATTAATTTATCCATCTTTCGATTAGACGAAATAATTTTTCCGTTAGCCATTGATCTGGATCATGTGACCGCGAAACATGCTATAAATTGTAATGGAATGCAGGCATCGAAGGACTTAAAAGAAATTGACGGCCCCAATGCGGAAAACATGGTTGTGAAAGGTTTTTCTAAAATATCTTATCTCTACATTCTTTTTAGGCCCGGATTAAACTAATCAAAATGATCACTTTTTTGCGATAGATGGGAATTTGATATGTTTTAAAATGCCTTAAAAGAATATTTATTATACTATGACGTGCCACCATTTTAAATTCGATTTGCTATCTGATACATTTTTTTGCTCATATTATTTTCTAGCCAATGATATTAAAATATTAGTCAGACGATTTTTTCACTAAAATTCCTTGTGTACATTCAATATGTTCAAATAATAAATGTTTTTTAAGTCAATATTAACCTTATTTTATATACAATAGTAAAACGAATCTATAATATTAATTTTATTATATTTTTAAATCCATTATCATTCAAAATGTTTAACTCTCCGTGGCAGCGTCTTATTCTGTTTCATATTTAATATTATCATTTTTAAAAAAAAATTTTAATCAATTTTTCTGTTGTCCTATTACCCTAAATCGACCAATTTCTTTCTGAAAAAGAAGTAAAACTAGGAATTGCTAGTAAAAAGTCATTTCTTTAAATAGGCATGGTGGGCAACCCCCATCTCACTAACTTGAAGCCGGAATCTGATTGTTTTACATAATTTGCTTAAAACGCCGCCTTTACTTTTGAAAAATTTATATCACTTTTTGATCATCACTAGATTGTAAAATGCCTAATTCTTGTATTATATCATATACTTCATTGAATTCACTACTGGTAAGATATTCCCCTTGATATTTAGGACCTAATAAATAAGCAGCGTTTTTTCTTTTTTAAGCATATTTTTATTTTTTAGAGTTTTTCACCAGGTTAAATACTCATTCGGGCAATTTACCGACTTGCCAACCCTGCCTGCACATTGACTAAATGAATTGGATACCTTTTTTTATTTAAAAAAAAAAAAATATATATTTTGGAATTTGAAATAATATTATACTAAACGATAAATGGCATTTAGTTTGCATTCAATCATACGATAAAATGGCGTATACCACTGACTCCTGAAATTGTCAACCTAGTGTATATATCATTGTTATTAGCATAGAAGAATATTAAAAATTAAGAGATAATGAAAAATATCTTACTTATTTATTAAACGCGTGAACCTGCGCAATTATAATATCATTGAACTTTGAGTAATATATTTTTGTCATTTAAAAAAATATAAAATAATATTATAGATATAACTTCTAAGTTACCATCTCCACCTTCAAATCATTTCTATGACGAATTGAATGATGTAATTGAAAAGGGGGGTTCAGATTCTATTTTAACAACCCAAAAATCTCGAAGCTTCGCTCGCGTCACTAACCATAAAGGTTTATTACTATTTTCGATTATGAGTTCATTAGCTTAAATATGTATTAATACAAATAATGCGTGGTCACCATATTATGCAATAATTAACTTCTTAACCCTTGATAATTTCTCTATTTTGAGCCATTTTAATCGACTAAAAAACGGCTAAACTTAGTTTTTAGCTATCTCCCCCACAGGATAAATTTTGTAGAAATGGGAAATAAATTTACTTCACTCGCAGTGCTTAGCGAGGTATTTTTCAACAGGCGCGATTTAATCGGGGTTTAGTCATTACCCAACTCCGCTGATGACTGAAGATTTATATAACTTTTTTTTAAATCGAACAGGCGGAAAGATATTATTCACTTTTATGGCATAAGTATTTTAAATTAGAAGCGTACGAAGGATAAGTTTATTTTTGCATTCTCCAGATAGGGTTTTCTAAAATGTTTTTGGGCGGGTTAAAAATATTTTTAAAACAACGGGCAGGTGAATTTTTTATTTTTCAGGCCGAATGGAACAGACTTCTATTAAAAATCATATTTTATTTCATAATATTGCATATTTTATAAGTTTATAGATATATTAAAATAAATAAACGAGAAAGAACCAAACCAGCCATTAATATAATTTTAAAGGGTTAAACAAAATTTTTAAATAAATATGGGCGGCGAGTGGGTAAATTATGGATGGTCGGGCGGGTTATAAAATTTATAAAACAACATAACGAGGGGGCGAGTTTGTTTATTCATAGCAGACCTCTAAATTTCATATGATCAGATACCAAATCAGTCTATGTCAGTTTTTTATGTCCTAATAGATTGATCAATTACAAATTTAGCTAATTGCATTACTTTATGTGATTCATAATATTGATTGACTTATAACCCAACCTTATTTATTGACCAGATCTTACTGCTCTCCAAATCCAAACCGACATGGCTTTTATTTCCACTATCGCCCCGAACCCGGAAGCGAGTAATTTGCCAGCACCTTCTTTTATGTCTGAGATGGAAGCCACTCAACACCATTATGGGAATTGCGATGGAATACTGGACTTTGGTTCTGGTTCCCAGAACGAAGAAGAAGATACAGAAAAAAAGTTTTTCTACCATGGAGATATATCTCCTCCTAGTTCCACCTTGGCTTTTACTTCATCCGATATATCGTCTGACGATAAAGGTGTCCTCGAAGCTCTGAACGAACTCAACAACGTTATCTCCACATACGGTCTTACAGCAGACGATAGAACTTCTGGTCGGAAAGGCTATTACGAGGCTTGCGCGGTCAATGGGGAAATGGTTAATGGACCAAAATCTAAGACTGGCCTTATGAATACCGAATTTAGGGATCCCCAAGGACACGCAAATAAGCCTATCTTATATTCGCAAATTCAGAAGAAGAAACTCGTGAATTTTTGAGCTTATAAAGATTATCATCAAAATTTTTTTTGATCATAACATTCGTATTATAATTCCCATTTATGTAAAAGAATCTTGTAATATATAATAAATTAAATTATAAAGGCTCATATTTATTTTATAAGCAAAAACCATTTCATAGTTATACAAAATTTCATAATTGATTTGATATTATATTTGTGGCCATTTTTACATTTTAGTCAGACATCTTCGATCAATTTCCCCAATTTTCCTGCTCAAAGAGCTTCATTTTAATATAATTTGTATTTTTCCTAAAAATTTATTATTTTATATATAATAATTACATGTTGCTCTTAAATAATTGGAATGGGCTCTGTATATCGTTTTATTTCCTTGAGATGACTCAAAATTTTTTAAAGATTATTTATATAGAAGTAACTATCACAATATAATCGTTCTCTCTACATTGTAAATAAATGCATACAGAGTCTAAATTTTATTTCTTAATTAAAAAATGATTCATTTAAGGCAATAAATATTTTTTTTTTAAAAACTAAGAAATATTTTATAATAAACTCAGGCTTTTTTTAAAAAATGTTCTTACACTTATATAATAGTTATTATAATTTTATTGTGAAGTTTTTAATTGCCCAATTTGGACCAGGATTTCTTGGCCCAAGAACCAATGTAGTTTTTTTAATTATTTAATTATTTCCTTCTGTATTATATTAGCAAATAACCGAAAAATATATCATGTCAATTTATAATTATAATAATTTGTTTAACATTATAATTCGAATAAATTATATTTTTTTTGGTAATCAAAATTATTTATAATAATAAAAAAGTTAATTTTTAAGATATTCAATTTAAATATCGAAAATCATTTTTAGACGAATTACATGTGAGAAATAAATATATATAATCTAATAAAATTTTTATATTATCTTAATCAAAAGAGGATTATTGCTTAGCTTTGGATATTTTTAAAAATTAGATTATGGTTCCGGCTCTTAGATTTTCTGCGGTCTCGTGAACAATAAATAAACCCTCAATAAATGAATCATGCAAACATTTGAAAAAAATACATATATAAATTACTTGCACTATATGTTAGGTCCTGGGTTTAAATGGGTTCCGGATCTTAGATTAGCCTGGATTCAAAATTCTGAATTTTACTCTAAAAGATTTTCAGAGTTGTTAAAATATTTAAATATAAGGTGTCTGTATTGAATTTTTGAGACTGATTGTGTTATATTATATAATTTATTTGGCTATATAAGTCCATAGATTAGGATACCGCTGTACAAATATTACTTTAGAGGTATATGTTTATAGATATATTTTGATATACTTTTATTTAACGCTTTTTTATGTTAAAAACTAAAATATTTGGATGTAAAATACATTTTATATCACATGACGCATATAATTTAAATAAATTATGTATTAATTTAAAAATATATATATATAATTTTAAAACTTATATATAAATATTAAAACTGTAAAGGAATATAAATCCTTGCTTAGCCCTGACGCCCATTAATTATTAAAAACAATTATTTTAAGCATATAAATTTATTTAAATAATTTTATAAATATTCCGCAGACTTTTAATGAATAAATTCTAATTTAATGTAAAAAAATTTTTTTTTAATAAATGCTCGTTTTAAATGAGAATGTTCTCAGATTTTATATTTAACTATATCTATAGATAGTTTTTTTTTGTAAAGCGATTAATGTATTTATAATGCAAATATCCTTCCTTTGTTACTTAAAAAGTTTTGTTTCTTATTAAGAGATTCTAAAAAATTTATAAGACACTAACATTTAAAATAAATCTTTAAATATACCCGGGCCGTTAAAAAAAATTTATTTTAAATATCCAGGCCATTTTTAAATTGCCATTATTAGCAATAAAAATTAATAAATGTAAATTAAAAAAAAAACTGAGCCTGGTCTAAAAATATTAAACCCAGGCCTGACCAAAAAAAAATCCGGGCCGGATCATGCAAATGGTACCTTTGCAAGTCTCTGATATATATACTTTCTTATTTGAACTTGTTTTCTAGTCTATGAAATAACACTTGAATTTTCGATCAAAACTGTTCAAAATCCTTAGATCCTAAAGTAATTGTAGAGTATCTCAAACCCTTTATAATTATACACCTGAGACAACATTTAAAAAAAACTGATATTTTCCCTCTAAATAGATGTGAATTAATCTACCTATCCTGAACTTGCAGCTTTTATAGCTAGTCGATTCAAATGGTTTTTTTTAAGTTACTTATAAGATAAATTTATCCCGTATACTTTATTTTGAGGCCATTTTTTACAGAATCAATGTGATTCGTTATACTCCCATATCTTATATTTTAAAACCCACCTGAATTATATTACAAATATTTTAATTTTGATCTCAAGAAGATCTCATTATATGAAAAAAAAAATTATGACAGAAATCAACGGATTTAAAATATTTTATGGTAAAAATAAAATGTATTGGAACATCGAATCAACTAGCCTCATGCGCCGACTACCCCTGTCTTATCCTACATTTTTTTCTATATTATTAAAATCTTTGTCTGCTAACAGAAGAATACGCCCACCATTTCTAGGAGTCAGTTTGTTACTCAACAGTCAGCACATAGTTTTGAAAATATCATACAATATTTATTATAGCATTTAACTCCAGGTGGGTGGGGGGGGGGGGTCTTAGTGCTAATATCCATGAAATAAAAATTAGTACTTCTAATTTTTTTTGAGCGCCATTAGTATATTTGTTTAAAAATTATTAATTTAAAATTGTTAAAACATTTTTTAGCACTTGTTAAACAAAAGGTTCATTTAGCCTTTTTTGAATATCATTTTATGAGCAATAATAAAAAACTCAGATTTTAAGCATCCCTAAATATTTTTAAAAAATCGGTGAATTATTTGAGAAAAGTTTTACACATTTTTTAAAAAAAATTTTTTATATATGTAAGGAAAATTAAAATATTTCGTCGCGATATAAATATTGATAGATTTCTTTTGCATAACACGATTATAATAATATAATTTTAAATTATAATACTAATAAATATTATATATAAATGGGTCATTCTTAATTGGACCCCCAAAACTAGATCTAAATTTAAATACTAAGAGTAGTTACATAAAAATTAATAGTTTTCTCTATCTAATTAGTTCCACGTCTTGATCTTCATTTGATATACAAATTTTCCTCTTGGGATCATACTTTCCTTTTCCTCATTCTCTAGTAAAGCCAAATAAACTGGTGTTTCACAACCTTTTTCTACCTGGAGGTAGCCTTTGTTACCGTTCAGGCTTGTTCTTATGTAACCCGGGCAGCACGAATTGATGACTAAGTTCTTGAATTCAAAATTTTTATCAACAAACCTTTGTTGCAAGGCTGTCAAAATCGTCAGAGCCATTTTTGAGACGCTGTAATGGGTCCCACCCCACCCTTCCTTAGATCTTCTGCAGTTTTTGGTGGATTCCAAGTAGGCTTCCATCAGTTGGGACAGCTCTTCCAACGTGTTAAACATCAATTTGGAGTTTTGTTCAGAGTGAGTTTTGTCGCTAGCGAGGATAGATTCAGAATTCTTGGCTTTATTTTTATTCTTGTCGATAAATTCTAGGTTGAAATAGCTGGATGCAAACCAGCTTTGTTTTTCCTTGTCGGTATTTTTAGATTTTGCATTTTCCATGCTAACTTGATTAGTAGTTTCTAAATTGGTGTTATTTACTGTGTTTAGCATTTTTTGTTGCATGAGTGAGTCCTTATGATTCCTTGCTGTCCCGGCTGAGCAAGTAATGTTGACAATCCGCCCATTCTTGCTAAACAATGGGAAGAGAACGGAGCACAATTGGTTTACACCCCAAAAATTTACCCTGAGCGTTTTAAAGGCGATATCATAGTCACTAGGATTTGATTCCAAATATTCTATATGCTGTGTATTTTCATCCTCACTATTACCATTACATAAATCGTTGGAGAGCTTATCTGATTGGTCTAAAGGGCTAGAATTGTCGGAATTTGACAAGGATGGTTTCAACGAACCTCTCCTATAACTTCGTCTAACGTTATTTTGCTTGTTAGAATGGGATAACAATGAATTCTCCATGCATATCGCCGCATTGTTTATCAGTATGTCCAACCCGCCATATTTTTTATGAATAAAATTTTTAAGGTTTTGGATGGATGTTCCATCTGCCAGATCCAGCTGATGATAATTCATTTTTATTTTAGGGCTTTTGGCTCCCCTCATGGAGTTATCCTCCAGCATGTAATCCACGCCATCTTGAAGTTCTCTGACGAACGTGTCATCGTCGCTCCTAGATGTCAGGATGAATTCGTAATACATCTGTTCGACTTTATCATTATTATCTCCTTCTGGATCATTTTTATCGCAACTTAATGGCACAAAAATTTCACATAATTTCTTAGTTATAGCCAAGCCTAATCCCTTACTAGCGCCTGTTATAACTATGACAACCTTTTTCCGGCCCTTCAAAAAACTTGGGGAGCAGAGAGGCTTCTTCACAATACTGTTGGCTTTCGGTTCCAACGCTTTTACTTTAGACGAAATCTCCATCATAGGAAGTTTGGATTCGACATTTTCTACCTCTTTCACACCGTTAATTTGTTGCAAAGGGTTGTTATCATTAAGAAGTTCGATATTAGTCTTGTTAGTCTCGTCAATCATTTTGATGATGCTTGATGACTCATCTCGTTTGATATCCACTTTGTTTACTTCAATTGTTTTATCGTTATTACTCAAGTTGAAGTCATTTATTTGATGATTATTATGTTTATTAGGAATCGGTGCGGTTTTTTTGCGAATTAACAAATTAGCGGGGTGAGAGAATTTTTTGTTGTTCGTATTGTTAGACGAAGTTTTGGAGAGGAGATCAATATCCTTGTTATTGTTCAATGTCTTGTTCTCGCTATCTAAATTACTCCTATTGATCGGACTATGCTCTGCCTTGCTATGCATGTTATTTAACGACTTATGTTGACCGTTATTCAAAATCAAAGTTACACTTTTATTTTTATCAACGCCCCACCTATCATTTTCCGCAGGCGTGCTAGGAGGAACGAAGGAACCAAATGTAGAACCATTATTTATCTCGCTATTGAACCTATGAATAGGGATATTATACTGTCTTTTATCAGGTTGGCTTGTCGTGAACCCGTTAGAAGGGGTGCGGGTTACAGGGTTTCGACTTCCTCTCGCAACAAAATATTCGCTCGCCTTAACATTTCTTTGCCCATTTAAATGATTAATTAGTGGAGGGTGATAACCCTGTTTTTCCGCATAGTATCTAAAGGCGGATTCGTTCAAATTAGACCCATTTACCATCTTGTCCAAAAATGGTCCTTCTTTTTCGTTTGGCAATCTAGGTTTTTCTCCGCTAGTTTTCCTATTGTTCTCGTGTATTATGCCCTTGATTTTGTCATTATGACTGTTTATCAGGTCCATGACAGTGCCACTCGTTTGGTTATGATTCTTCCAAGTAGCTCTTTTAGGTTTGTGATCGATATCAAAATCATTTTCTTTTGATTGAAAAAATTTTCTTTCCTGTGGAATAGCATTATTCGAAAATCTATTATCCTCTATGCCACTTTTGAATATGACATTATTTAAATTTTTATTATCATTAATGATACGGTCGTGATATTGATTATATTGATTATTATTGTGATTATCCTTGTAGTAATAGTTAGAATCAGGATATTTCGCCAAAAAATCAGCCTGGGGATTTATAAACTGTTGCGGAACGTTTTTCGATATATTCAGGGTAGAGGCGGAATTTCGATCGCTTAGCTTGCTCTTGTTCCTAAAGATATGTATTTTGTATAATATAATTATTATTAGATATAATATATATATTAATATGTATTAAAATTACGAGTCAATTTTTTTAAAATAATATCTTTCATTCACGACCAAATCCTTGAAAAAATAATAAGATTTATAAAGATATATATATCAAACGAAATTAAAACTATATTTATAGTTTTCATTTATTTTAACTTTAGCTTTTTGGTTAAAAACATTTTAATTTTCGATATAATAAAAAATTTAATTAAAAATAAATAGAAGATAAAAATTAATAATAAAGAACCTCGAAGTTAATTAAAAAAAATATATTTTTTAAAAAAAATTATGATTTAAAAACAAAGATTAATTTGATTTTCGGCAAAGGTATTGGCATACTTTTAGAACAAATTTTAGGTCATCCCATCTCCCATTTTTCCTCATTTTTAACGTTCACTCTAAATTAGCCTTTATTATAACTTTAAAAAATATCCCCCCCCCCTCTCCAATCATCAATAAAAAAATGTTTTATATTATTCACTGATTGACCTTCAATTTATATTATATTTTGTATAAATATCATAATTTTTATTTTCATAAATTAAGCATTAAAAAATTGAAAAATTGGTTTTTTTTATAAATAGTAAAAATAAAAAGTAAAATATAACTATAAAAATAAATAAATATAAATAACTAAATGACTTTCTTTGTAAAAAAAATATATTAAAATAAATTGTTAAAAATGTAAAAATTAAATAATAAAGAAAAAATATATGGTTAAAAAAGACCCTGAAAAGAGTTTGACATTATAATTATAAATAATGTAAATTTTATATTATATTCAATAGTGAATATCACTGGCATAAATGTCTTCGAAAGACCAGTAAAAAATTATCCCTGACAAAAAGATGCAAGACAAAAATAGCCCAATAACTTCAAAAAAAAAGAATAATTTCAAAAAAATTGAGATTTTTAAGACTTTAATTTCCTTCTTGAAAATTGGGGCATTTATGTTCGGGGTACTTTTGTCCAGGTCTTTTTTTGTCGACATTTACATATCAGTGATTTTATAATAAATTTTATATACTCACTTTACAATTATATTTTATTCCCGATTTCTTATATATTTATTTTAAAACTAATTTTCAAGATGGGGTCTAAAAACTTAATATTTTCCTAAATAGGGGTCTAAAAACTTAATGTTTTTTTCTTTATAAAAAAAATAAATAAAATAAAATCTTTACGAAATAAAATATTTCTATCATTTGTTTTTGTTAGTTAAAAAAAATGAAGGGATATTTACTTACCTTGGAAAAAAATATTATTCAAAAATTTTGTATTTTAACGTCCTTATAAAAAATAAATCAAGCTTTTTTTTTATCGACTTTATTATGTTATATATCAGAAACTAGCAGACCCCGTCAGTTTACCAGAAACCGGCTGTGAGTCCGGGTTCAACAAATAAAATAAATTATATCAATTAATCAATTAGAAAATCATATTTAGAATTCAGTTGCTGCTAGTATTTCCCAATATCCTTTTGAAATAATTTTAAAAACTTAAACTTACAAAATGTCAAATAACTCTATTGGACATTCTAAAATATTTATTTGGAAATATTTATAAAACACTGAGCTAAATTTACCATGTAAAATTGTTATATTATTTACTCCGTTCTGCAATTCATACAGAAATGTATTGGATGTTTTATGCAAATTTCCTTTTTTACAGTGCCCACATGGCGTTATTTGTTTATTTATAAAAAACAAGGTTTCCAAATTGTCAACAATTGTTTATTAGGACTTTCCCTTTCACCCTAGCTATTGGCCCTTAACTTCCATGCTTTCGCAAAGGAGATATCTTTAAGTTGAGATATTTTTATATTTTCATTAATTCCAACCTGGAAATAAATTTTTGGCTAAATCTTTTTATATTATTTTGGCGGGAATTATGTTTATTTATGCATGAATTAATATTATTATTCCAAAAGATTTGTTAAAAATTACCTTTGAAAAGCAATTAGTTTTAAAAACTAACGAGTTATTTTTTTTAATGTTGGAAATTTAATTTTTTTTAGTTCCCTGTTTAAAAGTTTAGTGATGCAACTGATCTAAAAGACATTATATTTGATAAACAATAATTTTAAATTTCGGAAATATCATCATAAGATAGTTGAAATGCTATGTATAAATATTTAACATATTTTTTTACATGTAACTGGTTACTTTTACGGTAACTTAAAAAAAAATTTACTAATAACTTTACATTCCATTTCCGATATATATATGTATATATATTGTAATCAATTCTTTCAAATTTATATTCCCTCTTTTTCCCATCCCTTCTCTTCCTTTTATTATCTTAGGTCAGATAGTCAGGCAAATGTATCAGTAGTTTTAAAAAATATATATTTAAAAAAAGTGAAAGATTAATAATTATGACAAATATCACTCACTCAATTTTCATGTTTAAACCACCGTATTCGAACAAGGAACGTAGAAATGAATCAACCTGTTATAGAATATATTTTTGTTGAAAATTTGAAAGAAAAAAAAGAAGAATAATTTAATACAAATTTATAAACGTATTTTTAATTTATTATTACCAAATTTAAAATATACTGAAAATCTTAAAAATTATGCTTTTTTTAAATTACACTATTATAAAAGAGAAAACGTTAAACGATTTTATTTTATAACGAAAATTCAAGGAAAAATGGATATTTTTTTTATAAAATAATTTTAGCCTTATTTCTAGCTTTTGCGAAATATTTTATATGGTGATGATTTTTTTTTGATATCAGAAACTACATAAATAGGATACTAAAAAACAAAAATAAAAAGCATTTTATTAATTTATTATGCGCTAAGCATATATAGATTATCACTCAATGTAGAGTGCCATATCGATCCTTCAAAATTTAAAATTTAAAAAGAAAAAAATTCCGCGAAAAACGTGCCACAAGGTGTAAAGAAATTATGAACGTTTTAGCATTTATGATAAAGGCATTAGATTATTATATTTTTTCATCTCCATGCTATACAAAATGAGTTAGGATGAATCTCATAATTTGTTTCTGCGTAAGATCTAACAATATAAGCTGAAATGATTAAATTTCCAACTGTAAATACGATTTCTTGTAATCTGACATTCGGTCAACGACTTCTAGTTAAATGCGCTTTGCAGAATATATTCTTTTACCACCTAATTGTTTTAAAAGACCAATCAAGAAGAAACTTTTTTTTAATGCTGATGGGTCGAACTGGAATTGTTATTTAACTGGGTTTAACAATTTTTTGTTTGGCAGATTTTTAGTGATCTTTTATAGGATAAAGATAATACGTGGGTACTTTTGAAATCTACCAATCAGGAATTTTTAAACCAATAAACAATTCTTGATTTATCGACTAATAATATTTTTCACGTGGTTTTACGAATAGAAAATCCCCCCCCCCCCCCAAAAAAAAATCAGCTTGTTTTTTTTTACCTTGTCCATGAAATGGAAGAAAATATTATTCGATACTGAAACGATGTCTAATAAATATCTAAGCATGAATAAGATGATAAAATCCCAATTCCAATCATGTAGACGACTGTTATATAACGGTGTTAAGATATAAATATTTTTCTATAAAAAAATGATTTTATAACAAAAGAAACACTTATTTAAAATTTAATTTTTTAAAAAAAATATTAAATTACATTATTAATAAAATTCTGATAACACCTTATTCGTTTAATCTTAATGACAACCTTGGTATTGATTATCGCGAAAGAGAAATTTATTAAAAATAAATAATTTATTTATTTATTATAGCATTATATTTTTATAGGTATAATTTACTTTCTATTATTTTTTTAATTGTATTTTAAATTATCTTTATAATATATATTATAATCATAAATTTAGAGAGTTCATCCAGGCATATATAAACTGTATATCAACTTTTATTTTATAAAAATCTATTTTTATCAGATGCAAACCTATGAGCGGCCCATAAAATAGTATTCGGGGCTGGCTAAGCGTTTTAAAAAAATAAACACTAATAATTCACAAAATTATATTTAAAATGAAGTAATTTTAAAAAATAAGGGTTGGTAAAATAATCATCGGGCTTAATTAGAGAAAACCTGAGATTTCTTGGTAAAACTAAAAAACTTAGAACTCTACCATTTGCATTGCAAGTCTATTGTATAGCGTCAAAAACACAAATTTATAGAAAAATAAAAAATTCAGTTAAATTTCTAAATCGATTTTTTATTTTTAAAAATCAATTTTACTATTAAAAGTTTTAAATAAACATCATGTCCTTGTTTATCGAAATTTCTTTTGATAAACGTGGGAGACATGATATGAGTGACATTTTATAGACTTTTACATGATTTTTTTTTATCCCTAATTATGATGGTCATTGACTTAGTAAAGCAAACCCTCAAACTAATCTTTGACCACCCCCTCCTTCATCATTGAAAAATCGAAATAATTTTCTCATTTTTTAAATATATATTTTATTATTATTTAAATTTAATTACTGCATTTCCAAATGAATAAGAAGATAATTGACTGGGATGTTTATATCACCTAATTTAATGCTATATATATATATATTTTTTTTTAAAATTTGATTCCCTTATTGTTTCGCCTCAAAAAAAATAAATATATATTTTAAAAAATAATAAACATATTTTTTTTAAATATTTTTTTTTGGATGGTAAGTAAAATAATTTTTATTTTCCCTTATGCGAGGTAAAACATTTATATTTTTATTTACCTTATACCATATTTTTTTTAAATTTAACATAAGGGTAAACCAAAATAGTTATTGGAAAGTATTTTTAAAAAAAATTAAAAGATGTTATTATTAATAAAGTTTTTTTTTCCTTCAGATGTTTCCATAAGATATAAACATATTGCGAGGCAAATTTTTACCTCAAACTAATAGGGAAATTTTTTTTGAAAGATTTTTTGTGATACCTTCATGGATTTAATATTATAATTAACGGATTTGTTCAAACGGGATAAATTGCTGACCGAGACGGAGCTATATATTAAAATCAAACGTATTATCTTTCAATATTAGTCCGATTCCAGTTCGATCTTTGATCTTAACCCTGATCAAGAGTAATAACCCGAAAATTTTTCAAAAAAATCAAAATTTTTATGTAAAATTATGAAAATAATGGAAAAAAAGGTCAAGTCAAAATAATTATTCATTTATTTTCAACCCTTTAGGGCCAATGTTGTATATTAAGAAATTTATAGATATTTTTTCAATATTTGATTCTTCGTTCAATAATACCAATAATAAAATAAACTTTCAAAAAATTAAATTTTGAAAATAAAATAAATTTTGAAAATAAAAAAAACGAATCTTATTTGTGTTAATCCGTTTCAATGAATAAATAAGAAATATATCTTAGAATAACTGGTAGCAAAGAATTTTATAAACTATTTGGAGATTCGAAAAAACTCCATTTGTGCATATCCATTTAACCTAATCTTCGTCCACTTTTTTAAATTATCATCTACATATAACGTTATTATAAATAAAAACCCCTCAATAAGTCTTTACAAAACTTTCTTTAATTTTTTTTTCTATCATTATTTATTCAAATACCCTCTATCCCATCCTCTTTTATTCGAATGATGATATGGTCTTAGCAACTCCCTCCTCCCCCCAACTTCAGAGAGGGTGTTGGGCCAATTAGCCCCTACATTTTATGAGCGATGGAAGCAGAATACCCCCCCCCTTGTAGAATACCCTTTCTAAAATTAAGCAGTTAAATTTTTTGTTCAAACTTATATTAAATTTTTTCAAAAATAATTTTATAATGCATCAATCTGTAATTCTTAAATATATATTATATAAATGTAAAAAAAATATAAAACTTAAAAATTTTTTTGATTGATAAATCTAGACAAATTAGAGAAAGAGAAAAATTTTATTAATTTGTCAATATTTTACTGTTTATATAAATTTTATTCCATTAATAAAATGGTTAAATTATTAAGAAATAATCATTACTACGAAGTCTTGTTTTAATTAATTTAATTTGCCCCCCCCCCATCCCCCAAGAAAAAATGACAATCATCTGCTCCAAGACAAGTAAATGGTTTCAATATTAACAATGACTCAAATGGGGATTACTATAAAATAATAGTTGTTTTTTTACTCAAATCAATTAACGATTTGTGATTCATCTAATGGCTCTATCCAATTTACAAATACTATTACTTATAAATCCTTCTGAGAATATATTAAATCCTATTAACTATTTAGATAAATATTATACAGATGATATAAATATATCTGAAGGTCTATTCATTTCAGAATTTAAATCGTATGAAAGATTAATTTTAGTAGATAATACTCTGTTATTACTTTTTAAAATGTTTTGAAGTTTTTTGCAAATATATCAAAATTCTATATATTTTACCAATTAGTACAAGCATAAATGAGGATCTTTTCTGACAATAAAAGTAAAAGTAACGGCGTTCTTGCTACTCCTAGTAATTTCCAATATTTTATTATTTGTTTTCGACATTGTCATTTTAATATGATTTATTATAATAAATTTTATATCAATTTATTCTAATAAATTTTTAATGTTCAATAAATATAATTCAAAATATATAAAAAATCCCCTCCCCTCTCCATGTAGAAAATTCCTGACTATGCGGCTGATCTCTAATGTTATTATTACACTATCACGTAAAGCAATAAGTAATATAATGAAGTTATGTATTTTTTTGACAATTAGTTATTATGAAATTAACATAAATTGTCGTCTAACAAGTGCCAAATTTCTCAAGCGCATGTTATTTAGGTCAATCAACGCATCAACTTATTGTGCAACGACTCTATTAATAAGTTCCTCACGTTTATAAGGGTAATAAAAAGGGGAAGCAAATATTAAGGCAATTTGAGGAAGTGGAATCACCCTCTTCGTTGGTTTCCATAGGCATTAAATCAATTTTAGTAGTATAGAAACAGAATGTTCAACATGGTAAGGGTAAAATTTAGAAAATTTTGATATTTTTTCTTAAAAAAAATAAAAATCTAAATTTTAACAAATACCAAAAAAAAATTATGTGTTGACAAATAATTTAAAAATTATTATATAAATATCAAAATATATTATCAAGAAAAAAACTTTAATCAATTAACATTATATGTAAAATAAATTTAAAAATTTTTGGCGAAATATTCAGTTCGTCGCGAACGAGGAAGGATAATGGGACATCATTTTATGAGCTCGGTTTTTTGGAAGGAGGATTGATTCTAGAAATTTGGTGATGAGATAGTGGCTTTTGTTGGATATTAGGATGAAATTGGTTGTTGGAATCCATGCATTAATGAATGTTTTTGAATGTTTTATTTATTAATGGGAAATATCAGAGATTTGCAGGCTCAGCCCTAAATCTGGTCCGGGTACACGTGTCGGGCATTATTTTATTTTTTTTAATATACCCGAACCGGGTTAAAAAAATTTTTTTTAAATATACAGGCTGGGCCTTATATTTTAAAACCAAATATTATAAATCACCATTATTGGCTATAAAACTTAAAAATAAATAAAATATATTTTTAAAAAATCCGGGGGGACAGGGTCGGGCCTGAAAATATGTCTGGTTGAAAATTTAAAAAAAAAAAAATTGGGCCGGGCCCAGCTCTCTGGAAAATATAAAGCTAATGTAATTATCTTTGTTCATATTAATTGTGATTCCTTGCCTAAGGTATAACCATTACTTTGGATTCAAAATTAGATGTGATACCCTAGATTCTTGAAGAAGACTAGAGCATGAGTGAAATAAGTTAGAATTGTAGCTATAATTGGCATTAATTAATGGTTGGAAACAACGCTGAAGTAGACTTGCTTCCATTCTGCGCGCCTTCAGCATCATGATTAAGGTCTCTTTGATTTAGTTTTTTATTAATTTAGATTTTCTAAAAAAATTAAGGGTTCATTCCAATTAAACCTGACTTTTCTAGTTAGTTCTAGAAAGTATTTTGTAATAAAATTCTAAATTTTGAAATCTATCTTATTTTATTTCCTTCCTTCCCTGTCAACCGTATTATATAGAATATTTTTGTAATCGGATTGCAAGAAACATATTTGTAAATGTAGTAATGTATGAATATATTGTAATATATTATTTATACATTATGAATTTTTATATTCGTCAATTAGATATGGTTATAATGATTATATATATTTGTGATTTAGTATAATATTGGGTAAAGTTAACTGCCTAACACCCACATCATCTATTATAATATATAAATTATTATAGATTATGTTGTTGTGTGTGATATCCATATAGTGTTTGTGTCATTTGACGTTTAGAATGGTAATCAAAATAAAAATTACACATGACATCATTATATCGTTTTATCAAATTTAGCATCCTAATCTTCGATTAACTTTTAATTTCAGTTTATGTAATTTATTTATTTTTCAAAATAAAAAGAAGGCATGACTTATAAATCTAATAGAATCGCGGACTCAGATCAATGGCATTTTTTCCGTTTCAATATCTTTAATATTAAATGTTAGGCATGATCTCTCTTCCCCTTTTTTTTTTAGTTTTAGGAACATTTTGAGAATCCATATAAAAATA